TGTAACAGCAAAGAGACCAGTGCAATGGGAAGATGCTGCAAAAGGAAAAGCGCTCACCTGCCTCTGAAGGCTCACAACAGGAGCTCCACAAAGAAGGGATCTCCAACCAGAGATCCTTCCCCAGTGGCATCCAGCCCTTAAATGAGGTCCAAGAGGTGCAGCCAGCTCCACCCCTCCCTGTCTCACAGCTGAATTGCCTTCACCTGTGCTCCCAGGGCTGACCAGGTCCTTTCCCCATGTGCTCCATCAGTGGTTCAGGCCAGGACTCAACAGTTACCACACATACAGCATCCAACTATTGGGGGGGAGATGTGCAGGAAGGGACTTATGGTGAACAGGGCAATAGTGAAGGAATATCACACAAGATCAGCACAGCCAAGCAGAACTCCCTGATGGAAAGAGAGGAATGAAAGAAGAGAAAAAGAACCAAGTGTCTGTCAGGCATTCCCCCAACAGAACACACAGCCATGCTCACCATCTTCCAGTCGAAGATATCCTTTAGTTTTCGGAACAGGAAAATTCCTTTCCCTTGTGATCTGCCAACCTACAGCACGGAGAAGCCGAGTTACTTAGCATCAGGATTTCCTGCTGTTCCCCACAGTTTCAGCACAGAAGCCCCGCACAACCTGAGTCATCATCTGTTTGTATGCAAGCACGTTTGTGTAATGTTATGGAGACAGGCAGAAAACGAAGGCATCTGACAAGAGCTCAATGCTGAACACTCGGGTTTACAAGCGTTAGGAGAATTCCTGGTGGAAAGGGCAGAGCAGGCAGGCAGCCTGCAGGAAAGTCCCACAGAGATGAATAAACAAACTCTGTCACATGCTTGCAGCAATATATCTAACACAACATATGTTGCTGGGAATCTTTTTTTTAAGTCACACTTAGATTTGTGTGTGCTACAGAAGAACTTAACTGAATGGGGAAGTCATGAGCAATGTCAAAGAACGATGGCAAACAAGAGCAGAACAAACCTGAAGACAGCCTAATTCACACTGTATGAAGTAGCCTGGATAAAGCACCTGAGAAGGAAGGCTCCCACCAGGCCTTCCAAGGGAAGCCCAGACTTCTGCAGTCTCAGGATCTTCCATTCTGCATGTCCAGAGCTACAGTGCCCAAATGTGGGAGTAGGCAGCCTGAGACAGCACAACACAGGGCTGCTCAAGAGCACAGACCAACAGAGTGTGTAACAGAGCTTATTTTTACTTGTTTGTTTTGAAGTCAGCCCCCAAACAATTTCATTTAAGGTGCTGGTAAAATCCCAGTCATTACTATATTTACATATATCTTTGTTTAGTGTATCTTGGTTTTTTACCATTTTAATTGAGGTTGTGGGCATAAAAATCAGCTTAATATAAGGTTTTCTGTTGCCAATTAACACGTTCCCATGTGTAGAGTTGGATAATCACTAGCTGATATCCTCCTGGCTGTAATTCACATGTTAGTTTGCATAATTACCTCCCATTTACTTCTCAGAAGTGCCCTTACTGATAGGCCTGACTCACAGTGTAAGGCAAGTTGTTCTGCCCCACATCTCCTGCACAAGGCAAAGCAGCTGTCCTCTCACAAGTGAGCACATTTTCAGTTACGTACCCTGGCCTAATACTCATGATGTTAAATGGCTTGAGTCACCTTGAAGAAGCAAAGGACTTGTCAGATTTATGTTGTATTGCTGTATTTCCTTTAGAAATTCTTCCTTGGTTCCTAGGACACTGGTCGAATGGGAATTTGCTCCATTCACCATTATCCCATGTAGATACAGGTTTTGTGGGACGAACGTGATGCAGAGCACAAGGCTGCACTTCATGGTAGAGCATGGAAAAGCTAACATTAACAAAATCCACCCCAGCTTGCACTCCAGGCTGCTCATGGAATCTTCTGCAATCTCTCCATATTCTCAGGATGAAAGTCCACTCAGTAAATTGGCTGGATTTACAACGGCTGACATTTAACGTAGTGGGATTTCCTTGAAACCAAACAGATGTTTTCATAGCTGCATCTTTGGGGGCTGCCCTAGAACACTGCCTAACAACAAGCCCAATTAGCCAGCTGCCCTGCACACACACACACAAGCTCTTGTACACCTGCAGCTGAACTGAAAGATTTAAGAGCGTGAACTTGGCCACAACCACACAGTGAGAATCCCTAGGAGCACAATCTGTTCCTCCACAGAAAAATCCAGTCCTCCACGCCATCAGCACCGAATTAACTTCAGCTCTACAAATAAACTGAGCCGATTTTCAATTGCCGAAATGAACTGTAACACAAGAAGGAATGTCTGGGTAGTATATGTTGGCCAGGAAGCCAGCCAGCATTGTTGCTCCTAGCCACCCTGCTACATGCACTTCTTCCTGTGGGTTTCCTGCGTGTTTTCCTCTCCTTCCACAGGATGAAGGCATCCATTCATCTTTGTCTCACTTGAGGAAAGTGATCGTGCACTTACCGGTTTCATGATCCAAGTGGTGCCAGGCTTCTTGCGAAATTCTTCCACAAACAAATGGTACTCTGAAGGCAATTCAAAGGTCTTTGGAAAAAAATCACATCTTGCTGCCTCAAGCTTCCCTGCTTCTCTTTCTAACTGCTTCCGAAACCTCTTCAGGTTCTTTACTAAGTAGTTCTTCCGACTCAGCTGGGTAGAAAGAGAAAGATAAGGTTAGGCTCAACAGATGCTCATGCAGACTGGCTTGCTTTCATTGCACTTGAGATACCTCTGGTGATGTCTGGGGACTACCTGTACTACATCTTCTGCAAGGGAAAAAGTAAATAAACATACACACTATTGAGAACTGTGTTTGCTCTGCGCAAATAAGGCTTGATTTCAGTTTTCTATTTAATCCTTGCATGAACACAGGGAAGCCAGAACAGAGGAGGTCATACAACCCATGCGTTACCCTTTCTAATGTACCTTTCTGTGCAGGCAGCATACTCATTTCCAGCACAGCTCCAGTCAGAACTGCCCACACCAAAAGCTGTAATCATGTTCACAGGCAGGCTTAACTCATCCCGCTCCTGAAATTGCTGCCCCTGTGGCACAACCAGCAGATCTGGAAGCGTACTGGCTCTTGAACCGCTGCAGGTTGCAGATGAGTGTTATAAACCACTGCCAGTCTCCATTTGCAGTAGCACTGGTGAGCATGAAGGCTTGGAGAAGGTACACGTGCTTCTCGGCAGCCCTCACAGGACTGGAAGTGACATGCAGGAGAGGATGGTAGCAGACCTCGTAGACGTAAGATTTTTAGGTGTTGCAACTTAATCTGCTCATAAATACAGAAGAGGCTCCCCAAAATACTGCATTTTGGAGGACCTCTTGCAATGCACCATCCTCAGATGTACTTTTGCCAGGCTAAGGGTATACACATGCATCTGATCCTAATGAACTGGATCTGTAGGAGTTCTCACTTTCCTATGTCAGGAAATTCACCTTTACCTACCAAGAGGAAGGTCTGGTCTTTAACCAGACCCCCTAACATGCTACAGTTGGTTTTGTTATTTTCAAGAGTCACAGACTTGTTGGTGTTTACCAGACTGAGAACGCAGCAAAGCAAAGTGTCAGGTTCCCAAGTAAAGCCCTTCCCAAGACAGGGGATGTTGACACATACTGATGGTTTATCAGAGCTGTAAGAAAGCGGCCAGTTTCTCGCAGTGGAAAACATTACCAGGTATTTCCACTCATAACTGCTTCTCATGGAAACTTACTGACAGCTTAAAAATACCTCCCCATACCCTCCTAGTTTCACTCCACCTTCGAGGGCTCCTTACCTCATAGTGATTGCGAAAGTGGCAGATACGAACGTGCTCCTCCAAGTACACGTGGTCAAAATTCTCCCGAAGCCAACTGACATCGCACCACAGGAAATCCCACTCCTCCTCACTGGGGAGAAAGGGCCCATGCAGAGAGCACAGCACGTGTTCACACCACCACCTCCACCACCTGCAGTGCTGTGCAGCCTCTGCTCCCCTCCGCCGCTCTCCATCCCCAAGCAGGGCTGTGGGATGCACTCCCCATTTTAAACGTGAGGTTGCAGCACTTCCCACCTCCACGCCCGGCACGGCCTACAGGCTCTGCGGGCACAGTGGAGTGGCACAGCTCTGGGACAGGCACCCAGCCCAGGGGCTCAGCGTCCCCAGGGGACTCCCGGGGACCCGTGCCGCCCCCCCCCCGGGGATGGATGCCAGCAGCGGCCCCGCGGCCCAGCAGTAAGCCGTGCTTACTTCCTCGCCTGTTGCCAGCCGGGCCGGCAGCGCAGCACATCCAGTACGGGCCCGGAGAGGCCGCACTTGAAGCGGACACGGCCGAGTGGAAGAGGGGCGGCAGCACCACGGATAGAACCGGCAACGCGGCCTAGCCCGACCGGGTGCTGCTTTGTCCTGTGCGGGACGCGGGGAGCGGCCTACGGGGAGAGAAGAGAGGAAAAGCGGTGAGGAGAGCCGGGTCGGACCGGCATAGCGGCAGGGAAGCCGGGCAGCGCTCACCGCCAGCTCCGCCATGCTGCGGGCCTAGCAGGCCGCGCCGTCTCCATGGCAACGGCGGCGCAGAGCCCCGGGCCCGCTTCCTCTCGGGCCTAAGGAGCACCTGTAGGCCTCGCCCCACCCTGCTGGCCCCACCACCTCCGTAGGCCTCATCCCCCCTGCAGGCCTCGCCCCCCACTGTAGGCCTCGGCCCCACCCTGAAGGCTTCGCCCCCCTCCCCCCCCCCGTAGGCCTCAACCCTTCTCGTAGGCCCCGCCCCGGCCACAGGGTGCTGGGGTTGTGCTGGAGCTGTGCCTGGAATGCTGTGAGCTCGTCCCCTGGCCCTGTGACACCCAGCTGGCTGTGGGGTGGGTGCAGGCTGGGGCTGTGGGTGGACTGGGTGTCCTGAATAGGAGGCTAAGCCAGGCCCAGAGCCAGCACTGGGCTTTCTGCAGCCACGTCAGCAGCACTCAGGGACAGATCACGGCACTTCCCTGTGCCATCAGTGCAGTGACAGCTACTCCACGTCCACCCGGGGGGAAACGTGTGGACGTGGAGTAGCTGTCACTGCCAGCCTGCTGGTCTGTAGGGGTCTCATCCCCCCACCACTGTCACAGCGAGGGCTGGGCATGCTGCTGTGCCGAACAGACCGCCCTTGATCAAACAGGACAAAGGTTTTGTTCTTCTCTTCACACTGCAGCCTTGTCCGTCTGCGCGCTGGCAGCAGCGGCTGTCAGCAGACAGCGCAGCGCTCCCACACCACCGCTCAGAGGTGGAGTTTCTCCTCCTTTGTCTCCTCCCGGTAAGAAGGAGCAGTCGGTGCGAGGGAGGCGGGTGCTGGGGAAGGGCTTTAGCAGAAGACGCAGGGGAAGCGGACGGGGTCTCTTCTGTCTTTTCTTCTTCTGGGGGATTGGGCTCTGTGCTGCAATCGAGCCCCTTGTCACAAGCAGCTGTCCCACAGGAGCGAGCTCTTCATGACAGAAACCTTCCCAGGCAGCATCCGGAGCGTGGACAGCAGCTTCACCTGGGGACAGAGAGGACAGTAGCATCGGGGACAAGGACACCTGCTCCCCGCCTATCCCAGGGCACGTGCTGCAGACCATGGGAAATGGCATGAGCAAGGTAAAGGGAGCGCTGGGGTGCAGGTCTGCAGAGCTGGGTGCTGCAGGACAGGCTTGCAGCGCTCAAAGTGGGAGATGCTGGTCGGGCTCTGTTTGTGATGCTGGGCAGTGTTATGTGTGCCAGGGAGCCACCCGCTGGTGCTGAAACCGGCACAAGGCACAGCTGGTGGAAAAGCTTGTTTACCTGCAGGCTAAACAAAATCAGAAGCCGGCAGGGATGCTGTGTGAGGCTGCAGCAAGGGCTCGTCCTGACAGCCACCTCCAGCCACTTCAGTTGGGGCGTGCATTCTTTGAACAGGACTGGTGGGCACTCTCCAAAGTGTAGAGGACAGGAGGTCACAGCAAACCCTTCTGAGGGAGGCAGGAAACTTTTCCAACACCTTTAAAAGAAAGGTACAAGCTTCCAATCACTTGCCAAGGAGTTCTGTTAGACCCAGAGGCTGATGGTGCCACCCTGTGCTTGCTGGCTCAGGGTTCTGCACAGTGCTCAGAACGTCGCTCGATGGAGGGGACAGACTCTATTTTTTGGTTGTTTGAGCTTTTCCTGGGTCACAGGTGAGCAGAGACATCTTCTTTCTGCTTTAATAATCCCCTTCAATCTATAGCCACTCGTTATCTGGGAAATTTTTCAGTGTTTTAGGTGGAGCTGCAGTGCCCCATTTTATTCAGCGAGGAGCATATCAGAAAGTTACTGGGGACAGGAATGTGCCATTATTCATGGCTCATTGTCCTGCCCTTGGGAGCTGGCCTTGCTAAATGGCTCTTTTACCATCTCATTTTCAGTGCACTTGCTGAAAGTTACAGGCACCCTGTCAATATAAAATTGATCTAAATTGTTAGGAATTGTAAAAAAAAAAAACCAAAAACCAACAACAAAAAACTCCTACAGCTATTAGAGCAATAAAAATGTTTCCAAGCATGGGCAGTGAAGTAAGTGCAAGCATTACCAAACATGCAGCAGAGAGAAGCTGGAAGTGAATCAAGCCACACACAAGTGTGTACAGGCTGTTAATCCTAATTTTCTGTGATGGGAAAGAGGGAAAACATAAAATAACTGAAGGTAGGAATGGATGCATGGTATCTCACTTCTGTAATCTGGAGTACTGTTAATAGAGGCATTGTCAAGTAATTGCCTTTTCATCAAAAGAAATGGAATTTCTCAAGGCAAATAATTAAGATACAATGTCGAGAGCAGTCTGTCCCAGGCCTGTTGGAAATGGACTCCTTGTAGAGCAGAGCAGAGCTGGGGTTGTGGGAGATCATGTCTGATCACTTGCTACTCTGCCAGCACTGATCAGGGCTATCCTAGATCTTGTCCTTCTCTGGGTACTGCTGCTGCTCCAGGCCTTGAGGCAGTGAGGTGACAGCAGTGAGGTGATTTAGGCACTCATTTTAATGGCAGGACTTTTGCCTTTTTGACTGAGGCCAGGCTCACCCTGGCTCAAGTCCCTCTGCGGGCTCTGCTTCTGAATCACAGACATCACTGAGCAGCTGTGCTCATCCCACACCCATGTGCAGCCCCATGTGCAGGAGTCTGTGTCCATGCAGCTCTGTCAGGGCAGGCTTAGGGGCATTGGACACAGCCCAGCCAGCAGCATGGGGTGGGAAAGGAGTCCAGGGGAGGGAAAGCATGTGGTGAACACTGCTAAGGCAGATGGGAACCCCAGGCACGGGGCACCATGGCGTGTGTTCAATGCTTACAGGCTGAAATCTTTCTCTGTGTCCTGCAGATCCTCCCTGGCCTTTACTTGGGAAACTTCATTGGTAAGCAGAGCCCCACACTGCTGAGAAGCCCCCGCAGAGTTTCCCTGACCTCACAGTCTGCTGCAAGGGAGCTCCCCACCTGCATGCCTTTGGTGCCTTTGCCTGTGCTGCTCTGGGTGGGCTCTGCTTGGCTTCCCAGGGCTTGTCCCAACTGCTTTGGGAAGGCTCAAAGGCTTCTTCTTCCTGCTGATGGATAAAAACTGCTTTTCATCCCGTTTTATCATAGCTTCCCTGAGATCTCAGGAACCCAGGGGCTGAGCAGGGCCACGATCTTGCTAGGAAAAGCCGCAGCAGATGCACCTCTGCTGTGACACGAAGCAGAGCAGGGACATCACTGTTTGAGCCCTCCCAAAAGCTTCAGGTCCCCCACATACTAGCAGCCAAGCAGAATGGGGCTGTGCACGCTTGGGTGTTGCTCCCACAGGCCAAGTCACGTTCTGACAGCAATTCACTGTTATAATGGATTATCACTGTCAGTCACTCATGACTAAGGACTGGCATCTGCCATGAAAAAACAGCATTTATCAGAGCTCCTGCCTTCCCAACAGCTCTTTCGATGGCTTTATCCCGGCTGGAAGTGCTGAGAGCATTTAAAAACACTGGCATGAATTGCCAAGGAAATGTCTTGGAAGTGGCGGGGCAGCCTGGCTGGCAGCAGCCTGCCACAAGAACACTCCTCACTCCTCAGCACCCAAAGGGAGCATGTCTAGGCTGAGGGCTGGAGGAGCTGCTTCTGGCAGGTGCTGTTTGGGAGCCTTGCAGGGAGCACATGGGGAGGACCCAGCTCCAGGCCCATCGCAGAGGTTACTGCAAGCAACCCCCAGTGTCTGGGCCTGGCCAGATGCCACCAAAGTATTTCTCCACCGAGAAATTCAGGGTGATGACAGAGATGTAGGGCCTGCTGAATTAAGCTCTGACAGCTCATAGAGGCATTTTCTCTGACTGAAAGCATTTTCCAGCCATAATAAGCCTTTATGGACGTGTCACTAATTGCTGTCATGCTGACTGCTGGACTTGGGTGGGGAGGTGACAGCTGATGTATGGGTCCATGGACAGAGGGTCCCCACCTCTTCCTCCTGCATGCACAGCATGGACTCTTAACATGAAGCAAGTCTCTTGAGGCTCACCACTATTAAATATTCACGTTATGCCATTAGCACATCGTATTTCAGATTCTTGGGCCAAGGTTTTACACCACTCTGAAGTTCAGAAACCCAAAAATCACAAGTGTAGAAAATATTAGTACCCATCTCCAGCAGCCTGTGCAGTATCAGCGGGTCATGTTACGAAAGGAAAACAGCTACAAAGCTGCTTAGCCAGCAAGATGAGCAGGTCTGCTCCCAGCAGAACTTTTGTGCTAGACCAGTGACCAGAATCACAACCAGAGGATGCTGTAAAAAGTAGGTCATTTCCCCAGAAAGCTGAGGATACCTGATCTCCGTGCATGCGACTGCAGTAGGATGCATGCAAAACGTTCCAAATCACAGTTCTGCAGATCCCTCTGGCCATGCCAAACAGCACTGATGTGAAAGGCTGCAGCCCCGCTCCTGCAGTCTGTAAGATAAAGCAGATCAGCCAGGCTGCAGCAAGTCCCCTTTCTACATGTGCATGCGTGGAAGCAGTGTCACCACAGGGCATGTTCTTTCCTCCCTAAGCTAGTGAACAAGTAGAGGCAAGCGCAAAGCTGCCTGCTTGCTTAAGAGTGTTTTCCCATGCAGAAGTGAATTTTCACCCAAGCAGCAAGGTCAAGTGCCTTTGGAGGGAGCAGGTCTCTGTTTTGGTATCCCTGGGTTTGCATTCCCAGGTTTCCAAGAAGTGTTTGCGTAGCTGCCTGTGTCTGCTGTGCTACCAAGTGCGTAGATGCACGCAGGGGGGTGTAGTGCAGCTGTTCCTCCAGAGCACAGCTCTGCGTGCTGGTTTGTCTGCAGGAGCTCAGCGGACGTGCTTGTGGGAAGAGGAGGGTGAGAAATAAACATGTGCTGAGATCAAGTTTTATCCTTTAGATGCCAAAGACCTGGAGCAGCTAAGCCGGAACAAGATCACCCACATTGTGTCAATCCACGAATCTCCCCAGCCTCTGTTGCAGGTAGGATCCTCTGCCCGATGCCAGCATGCAGATTTCTGCAGCTCTCTCCATATTGCAGCATCTCCCCCTTCCAACTCTGAGCATCCCATGGCACATCCCTCTCCCCAGCAGCAGTCTCAGAGGAATGAGGCAGCCCCTCTGCTCTCTGGGAAGCTTGTTGGTTCATGAATATAACCTGGCTTTGAATGTTGATGAGAAGATTTCCAGCTCTCCAACCTTATCTCATTTTCCACCTTCTCCCTCAAGCTCTCAACCCTCATTGCTCTCCCTGCTGCATTGCTGAGGGGAAGCGTGGCCCTGTCCCAGAGCAAAGCTGTGCTGTGGGAACAAGGCCCAAGAGGAGCTCAGGGGCAAGGCACCAGTGGCTGAGCTTCTTGTGTTCCTTTTATGTCTTGCAGGACATCACCTACCTCCGTATTCCCCTGCCAGACACACCTGAGGCCAGCATGTGAGTTCTCAGTGAGGCCAGCACAATGGGATGCAGAGAAGGAATAAGCATCCCACCTGAGAACCCAGGCAGAGCTGCCTGGAGAGCAGGGGAAGGCACAGAGCTGGCCAAGAGCAGTGGCATGTTCTGAGTGCGAGCAGCCAAAGAGGGCTGTGGACCTTTCCTTGCGAAATGAGCACTGAGCTGCCTGGGTCTCAGCAGCTAGTGATGGTGCCTGTAAAGTAACAGGCGTTTTATTTTAATGCTTTGTCCTCAAGCTCTCACGGTTGCACCACCTGCAGCCTAAAAATCTGGTTCCACACCTGTAGTCCTTATTCTGCTTGTTCTCTTTTTCCTGCTAGCAAGAAGCATTTCAAGGAATGCATCAGTTTTATCCACCAGTGTCGCCTGCAAGGAGGAAACTGCCTCGTCCACTGGTAAAGCTTCTTTATCCACATGTAACACCATGTTCTCCCAGCACAGCACAGCCAAGCCCACAGAAGGGGTCCTGCTGGCAGAACCCCTGCTGTAGCTGCACATGTCTGCCAGGGCCCCAATGTCCATGAACCCACTCAGGATCCGCTCTCAGGCTCAGCTGCAGCCCCCAGCTGAGCAGGATCTGGGGAGCCCTTTGGGGGATGGAGAACCACTAGAGAGGGGCAGATTTTTGCTGCAGTTGAGCAAGTGGGAAGGGAGCAGTTTGGGGCAGGCTTCCAGGCAGCGGCTGCTGCTTTCACTTCCCCTGGGGAGCAGGTCGTATTTATAGACACTGCTCAAGAGGACCTTGGAAGGGCTTTGGCTTCCCAGAGAGCAAGTTTGCTGAGAAGAGGAACCAAAATAGCTGAAAGCACAGGGGCAGGCATGGGGTCAGGGCAGCAGCCAGGAGTGCACACTGCAGATGGTGGCCCACATGCTCTTTCCTTTGCCAGCCTGGCTGGGATCTCCCGCAGCACCACCATCGTCGTCGCCTACGTCATGGCTGTCACAGAGATGAGCTCTCAGGAGGTGCTGGAGGCCATCAGAAGCGTGCGACCCGTTGCCAACCCCAACCCTGGCTTCAAGCAGCAGCTGGAGGAGTTCAGCGGCAGTGCAGCCCGCAAGGTGGGATGCAGGACAGCGCAGGGACAGTGCATCACATCCCTTCCCTATGCCCCTTGCGTGCAAGCTTGGATTCACACTGACACAGGCATGCTACTCTGCTTCTCCCTCTTTCCCCAGATGCGCAGGCACCTGAAGCAGAGGTATGGGACGTCCCCTTTCAACGACGAGGAAGAAATCAAGGCCCTGCTACCAGCGGGGAGAGGAAGAGCATCCCAAGCAGAGGGAGCTCGGCAAGGACTGGTCCCAAGGGCCAGGGACATCAAGAGCACTGCTCCCTTCCTGCTGCGGGTGAAGAGGACGTTCTCCTGCATCCCAGCTTGTCTGAAGTGATCCCAGCCCGGATCACCTCATGGCCTGGTAAAGACTAAGGAGCTGCAGCAGCAGAGAAGTGCCGCATCGCAGAGCCACAACGAGCCCAGCTCCTTCTCCTCTCTGGGTTCAAGCGTGCCATCTTCTGTCCTGGCTTTCAGCTATTGGGGGAGGGATTCATTCACACTGCTGAGCTCTGCAGGGTCAGTCCATTGGTGCCTGGTGTGGGGGACGTCTGGCAGAAGCACAGATCGCGGTTCCCAGTTCACCGTGGCAGTGACACACGGGGCTTCCCAGCACCCAGGTGATGCTGACAGCAGCTTTAGCACTTCAACACCAGCTGCATGGGCCTCAGGGGCACACAAGGTGCAGGAGATCTCGCTGACTCCTCGGAGCAGTTTTCCCACCAGCAGCAGCAAGCTTCCAGAACCAAGGTGGCTGCAGTGCAGGGGCACACAGGAGAAGCTAATCATGCTGTGCTGGTGCTCCAGGCCAGCCAAGCACAAGCCTCAAGCAAACACTGCAGCTTTCAGTGTTCATTGCACCGCATTCCCACCGATCCCAGGGCACAATCTTTAAATGGTGGGAAATAAATGTTTAACCTCGCCAGACCTCACTAAAGCAGAGCCTTAAGCCATTTTGCTTAAATACTTTCTATGTCCTTGTAGTATTAAACTTCTGTTTAATGCAGATTGACCTGCCTGGGACACAGAGGGGGAGCTGGGGCAGAAGGTCCCTGGCGTAGGGGGATTCTCTTCTCCCAGCCAGGAGATGAGAAGCCTGTGTTGCTGTTGGGGGGCTGAGGGCAACTGCAACCCTACAAATGCAGCTTGGAGTTATGTGAGCAGCACCCAGCCACACCCTGGCAGCATCACCCATAGAAGACACCCGTATCTCCAGTTTGCAGAGCAGAGGTTGCTCACAAGAGCCCTGCTCAGGATGGGCCATGAGCCCTGCTGCTGCTGCAGGGAACAGGGCTGTGTGGCTGGGCAGGAGCAAACAAGTACTCACACGGATATTGTTCTGCTGCACCTTCTTTGCACCACAGAGCTGAAGCCTGCTGGGAGCTGCAAGAAGGCTGACCCACACCAGGAGCTGCAAACCCTGCTCTTCCCCAGCCCCGTGCTGTTAACACCTCACACTGTGGCAGCTACAGGTGGGGATGATGCTGGGCTGCCAGGTGGGCCGTCAGCATCACCTCTGCTGGGTGTCTCCAGGGTCCCTTTAAGCTTGCAGGCGCTGCATGGGATTCCTGGAGCCACGTAGGATGCCTGGCACTGGGGCTTTGCCACACTTTCAGGCACCTCAATGTCCCATTCACTTTCCTTACAGTAACTTAGCACCACCCCACACCGCTTCTGCAGATCCCCACCCTACTGCTTCCCCACTCCCTCACCCCACAGTGAGGAGATGTGGGGGGGCTCCTGTGGCAACCCCACACCCAGACATTCTGCATTAACAGTCAGGATTTCCTGGTCCGTGCCGTAAACCCACACTGAGGCCACGTGCAGAGCAGCAGCACCTCCAGGTCCAGGTCTGCAGCACTGCAAAACATTTATTTTGGCAGATCAGGTTTGCACAACTGGAAAAATACAGGCAAGGGCAGCGTTAGATGTGAGTTAATGTTTGACTGCCTTTTGAAAGGCATTTCAGCATTGAAAGTGGAAGGGTTAAAGCGGCTTCACCTTCCCTGTGCAGGGAGCAGCTCAGTAGGGGAACAGACTGCTGAGCATCTTCCCTGCTGGCACGTTAATTGCATCCCTGGGTCCTCCACGTCACCATCTCTGTGAGGAGTGGAGAATTCCCCAGCTGATAAGGGCTGTTATGGCCGTGCTGGGTCTGCCTGATGAGCTTAGATTAGATTGAGGACTTGGAACCAATTTGTGCAAACCACCAAGACGGCAGCAGCCCCTTGGAACCATCTCAGTGCACAGAGGAGCAATGTGAATCCTCCTTTGCACAACCCCTGCCCACTTTTCATGGAATAAAGCACCTGGATCACACCAGTAAGAGGTGAGGAGGGGCTGCCTCTGCCCAACTACTTTGCAGGGGCTGGAATAGGGCTGGTGCTCAGCCCACATCTGAGCCGCTGATGGAAATCCCGTGTTTGCGGTGGGGAGGCCACAGCAGCTTCCTGTGCTCTGCATCCCCTCCCAGTGTCCCTGTAACACCTGGACCTGGCCCAAGCAGGATGGCTGTACACTGCCAGGGCCAGCAGGCTCCTGCCCCCTGCCCCCAAACTGCCCTGTGCAGCACTGGCACCTGGCTGTGCCCTGCGCCACGTGGCTGTGCCCCATCCCCACACCCTGTGGGAAGCCCCAGGGAGGGGAAGGCCAGAGCCTGGCACTGTGTCACCTCTTACTCATTTTGAGGATTTCCAGCTCAGAACAGCCCTGATGCTGGAAGCATCGTCCCTGGCCCGGAGGTAACTTTCTCTTACTCAGAACTGGAAATGAAACCCAACGGGGCGGTGATGGAGCTGCAGTGTCAGCCCCCCAGGCACAGTGCACAGTGCAATGGAGGAAAGAATTGGTAGAGCCATCATCACTGCTCGCAGCAACTCGCCCCAGCCTGGCTCCATGGTATTGTGTAACTTGGAAAAGACCTCCGTGATCCATCCCCAAGTCTATCCCCAGCCCACCCCACCATGGCTACTGCCCACATCCCTCAGTGCCACATCTGAGGACACCTTCAGGGACGGTGACCCCACCACTCCCTGGGCAGCTGTGCCACTGCATTATCACTATTTCTAAGAATAAACGTTTCCTAATATCCAACCTGACCCTGGTGCGGCGTGAGGCCATCACCTCTCATCCTATCGCTGGACAAGAGACCGAGTCCATTCTTGGGCAGTGTGGGGGCCCGCAGGGGAAAAAGGGACGTGCCCAGCTCCCAAAACCGGGAGAAAAGGGGAAAATATCTCCCTAAGGTCAGCAAAGCGTCACGAACCCAAGCACAGGCTCAGGGCACTGCAGGAAGCGAGGTGTGCCGACGCGTCCCGGTGCCCCGGGTGCGCTGCGCCCTCCCCCCGGGCCGGGATCCCGGGGCGGCAGCGAACCGAAAGTGGCGTCAGGAAAGGGAAAGTGAAAGGCCGGGTCCCGCCGTGCTTTCGCTTTCAGGGTCGCCGCACGCTCCCGAGGGCGGCGGGACCGGGCCGGGCCGGGCCGGAGCCGGGATGGCGGAGCCGGGGTCTCCTATGCGGCTGAAGGAGTGGCTGATCGCGCAGATCGACAGCGGCCGCTACCCGGGGCTGCGCTGGGAGAACCGCGAGCGGACGCTCTTCCGCATCCCCTGGAAGCACGCGGCCAAGCAGGACTACCGGCAGCAGCAGGACGCCGCTCTCTTCAGGGTACGGCCTCTCCCAGAGCCCTCCCGGAGCCCCTCCACCGGCCTCGTGCTCTCACTCCCCCCTACATCCCCGCTGCACCGCCCCGTGCTTCCCTCGGATCCCCGCCTCGCCGCTAACTTGCACCCCCCCTAATCCCCGCAGCACCATCCCTGTGTCCACCCGGTCCCCGCTGCTCAATCCCGGTGCCCCCATCCCCGCAGCACCGACCCCGTGCGTCTCCGCTCCGCGCTGCGCTCACCCCGTGCGCCCCCCGACACCGTGCGCAACCCCGGACCCCGCTGCTCAGCCCCCGTTTCGCCCCCCGAGACCCCCGGTGCCCAGCCCCCTAGCCTCCCCCCATCCTCTCCGCACCGGCTCTGTGCCCCCTCGAACCCCCATCCCCTCCAGCCCCCAGCTCCGGGCTCCCACCCACCCCCCCGGACTCCTCCCATCTCCGTGCCCAGCGCAGCCCCTGCTCTTCCCGCAGGCTTGGGCCGTCTACAAGGGCAAATACCACGAGGGCACGGACAAGGCGGACCCATCCACCTGGAAGACGCGGCTGCGCTGCGCTCTCAACAAAAGCACCGACTTCCAGGAGGTGCCCGAGCGGAGCCAGCTGGACATTTCCGAGCCTTACAAGGTGTACCAGATCGTGTGCGACGGCACCCGGGATGCAGGTACCCCCTGCCGGGCTGCTGTGCCATTCCCCTGTGTCCCACATCCTATAGGCATCACCGCTCCATCCCCTTCCTCTCCCAGTCCGCGTCCTCTGCAGAGCTCAAGGCTGTGCTCAGGCAAAGTGCTGTGCTGGGGTCAGGACTGGGCTGGCTTTCCTCATGCTGTTTTTGGGGCTCAGTGTTTTGTTCCCTGTTCCTTGCAGAGAAGGATGAGAAGGATGGCAGAATGCAGCCCACAACCAGCAAGGAGCCACAGGTGAGTCATTCCCTACCGGGGGGCTCGTGGGGAGGTGGGACCCCAAATCCCTTCTTCCTATGTCTGCTCCCCCTGCCCGCATCCAGCATCCATCCTGGTTTCCCATACCTGGGGTCCAGGGGTAGCAGAAGCTGGTTCAGGATCATTCATTGCCCTCACACACTCTTGTCCCCAGGGCCACGTGGCTGAGGAGAGCCACCGAGGCACAGCAGGAACGTGCCACATGCCCACATTACCCCTGCTAACTGCCCATCCGGCAGAGCGAGGTGAGAGAAGGGCCCTTGTGATGTGAGGGGCACAGGGTGGGACTGAGCACGGGTACAATCACTGCTCTGCAGGAGCCACTCTGCCCTCCTGGTGCCCACACCACCTCCACCCCAACCCAGGGTACCACGTGCGGGGAATCTTCTACGGCTGGAGCCCGATCCGCAGCCACCTGCTCCCCAGGGCCCCATCCTTCCTCTCTGCCGAGGATGTCAACCACTCAGGTAGGAGCTGCGCCAGCCAGGCTGCAGCCCCCCGGGGCCCCCAGCCCCACACTGACCCCCGCTTCCTGCAGACTGCTGGCTGCACATCCGCCTGTACTACTGCGACGTGTTGGTGAAGGAGCTCACCACCCGCACGGCCGAGGGCTGCCGCATCGCCTCGCGAGCCGAGGCTCCCTACGGCCCCTCCTGCATGGAGCAGATCGAGTTCCCCCCACCACGTGCACTGGGAGGTGGCGGGTGGACAGTCGCTGTGACTGAGGTTCTGGAGAGGCTGCTGCCCCACCTGGAGCGCGGGGTGCTGCTGTGGGTGGCCCCCGAGGGGGTCTTCATGAAGCGGCAGTGCCAGGGCAGGGTGTACTGGAATGGGCCGCTGGCCCCACACCGGGACTGGCCCAACAAGCTGGAGAGGGAGAAGACCTACAAGCTGCTGGACACGCAGCTGTTCCTGGAGGGTAAGTGCCTGCCTTGCCACGCAGCCCTGGGGGCCGTCGGCCCCATCCCCATCATGGGTCCCATCTTTGGGGGATTGCTGTGGGGCTACGGGGACGGTCCCATCCCCTGCGGTGTTGCAGAGCTACGCAGGTACCTGAGCCACGGGCAGCCAGCCCCGCAGTACCAAATCCACCTGTGCTTTGGTGAGGAATACCCCACCAGCACCGGCCGCCACCTCCAGAAGCTCATCATGGCCCACGTGAGTACACACAGGGCTGCTGACGGCTGTGCCCATCAGTGGGGCTAAGGGGATCCGCGGTGCCAAGCATGGACCCCATCCTCCCGGCAGCTCCGTGTCCCGTAGGTGGAGCCGGTGTTTGCACGAGAGCTCTTCCACCACGCCCAGCGCCTGGGTCCTGCACTGATGCGGGGCTGCCCCCAGCCCTGCACGCCCGCAGCCCCCGGCCGCATCGCCCACGTCCTGCAGCAGCTCTGCCAGCCCTGAGCCGGGCAGTTGAGGGGACACGAAGCCTGGGGACGCGCGGCCGCCCAGCGGCGAATCCGTAAAGCCACAGGGCGTTTAGCAGGGACGGCTGCACATGGATGCTGGCTGGAGCGGGGCACTGCACGGAGCGCTGTATTTATTCCCCAAGAACCCAGCGGAGGCTGCTGCGTGCAGTTGTGCCCAGCAGGGGACAGCCAGCTCTGTCCTGGTGCCTCGCACTGTGGGGACTTGCTGTTTGTGAGCCGTAGAAATAAAGGCTGTGTTTCGGTACCGCTGACTGCAGCGTTGGGGCTGGGGCTGTGCTGCGGTGCAGGCTGTGGGGGAGCTGAGTGAAGCAGAGCCAAGCATCGCAGGGACATCAGGAGCTGAGCACTCTGTTTGTAGCCACGCAGCTCCTGCTGCACCGAGCCCCATCCTTGCCTCTGCTTCTCAGCTCCTTGGCAGGGCTGTGGGTAGCAGCGAGGTGCCCAGGAGCCACCCTCACCACCGGGCACCACGCCCCAAGAACACTTGCTGCCCATGCCTCAGTTTCCCCCAGCGGTGGGTGGGGGGACTCACTGGGAGTGTGGGGTTGTGCTGCACCCCAGCGCTGATGTGCCCGGGCAGCTGGGCTCGGTGTGTGCACCCAGCATGGCACGGGGACCTGGCTTAGAGTGGGGACGTGGCACAGAGCAGGGACACGGCACGGTGCGGGGATCCACACCACCCCAAGGACGGGGTTGCCAGGGAAGCCCCATCCCCACCATGCAGCCTCCCAGCCCACAGCACTGTCCCATTCCACACCACATCACCACCACCCGGGGCTTGGTGCTGCGAGCGGGCGGGACGAGCCCTGTGTCCCGGCAACCTCCCGTACCCGCTAAAGCCCACAGCAGTGCCAACCCGAGCCCGCTGGCTCCCAGCCCCTGGGCCGGCCCCGGCTGCGCGTCCGGCCGCAGGGACCAGCGCTGGACGATGGGGCCCCGCTCCGCCCTGGGCGGCCCCACGGCACCGTAGAGGAGGGGCCCGCCGCCCCCACACCGTTGGGGCGTTTTAACGGGCTCGGCCGGAGCCGGGCAAGCAGAGTGAGGACGGCAGGATGCAGCCGGAGCTCCCGGTCGGCTCCGCAGCTCTGCGCGGCCGCACGGCCCCGGACAGCCCCTATCCCGGCCCCTCGCCGCCTGCGGAGGCCACCAAGCCTCCCTACAGCTACATCGCCCTCATCACCATGGCCATCCAGAGCACTCCTGAGAAACGCATCACTCTGAGCGGCATCTACCGCTACATCATGGGCCGCTTCACCTTCTATCGCGACAACAAGCAGGGCTGGCAGAACTCCATCCGTCACAACCTGTCGCTCAATGAGTGCTTCGTCAAAGTGCCTCGCGACGACAAGAAGCCGGGCAAGGGCAACTACTGGACTCTGGATCCCGACTGCTACAACATGTTTGAGAACGGCAGCTTCCTCCGGCGCCGCCGCCGCTTCACCAGGAAAAGGGCCCTGCGGGACGGTGAGGGGGATGAGGGACGCAGGAAGACCCCCAAAACCCGCTCACGGGCACCGCTGCCAGACGAGGGGAAAGCGGAGAGCGGCTTTGCGTCGCCGACAGCAGAGCAGAGAGCAGAAGGCATCGGGGCGCAGGGCTGCGCCGCGCAGATCTGTGCTCACCCGCAGTCCAAAGCGCCATTCTTCACCAAGGAGCCGCTCGGGGTCCCCCAGGAGAGCCGCCTGCCCGCCCCCCCCCAGCCCAAGCAGACTGCCTTCGGGGGACCCCCGGCCGCGCTGCCGCTGCCCCGGCCAGGTCAGTACCCACTGCCTGTAGAGCCCGGCCACCCCGCACAGCGCTCCCCGCACCACACTGCGTCCCCCCCGGGTGATCTGGAGGGCAAAGAGCCAGCGGCCCCCGCCGTGGGGCTGGGCCAACCCTTCGGGCAGGTGTCTCCCGTCTTCCCCAGCACCCTGCTGGGCACGGGCAAACCCCCCCCATCTTGCTTCCTCGACGGCGATGGCTACAAACAGCCCCCCCTGCCCGTGTTCGGCTCCTTTGGCCGCGCGGGGCCCGAGGCTCTGGGGGGCAGCTACCAGTGCCGGGTGCAGGCGCTGAGCTTCTGTGTGAACGAGCGGCCGTGCGGTGCGGCGCTGGAGCATCTCCTGGCTGCGGCCCCCACCGCTGCCACCGCCGCCCCCCCGGCCCCCCGCCAGCCGCCCTTTGGGGTGAGCGAGCAGAAGGAGACGTGGGGCACGGGGGGGACGATCCCGCTGCAGGGGGGCGGTGGTTACCCCTTGGGGCTGCCCCACTGCCTCTACCGGACGCCCGGAATGTTCTTCTTTGAGTGATGGACTGACACCTCCCTCCTCACCCCCCCGGCACCATGCGGGGCTCCGGCTATGGAATAAAGCACATTCGCCCACGCTGCCTCTGTGTCTCTGCGACCCGCTCGGGGTGGGGAGCAGGCAGGGTGCATCGGGGCCACTCCGTTCCCAGCCGGATTGCTGCTGGGACACGTGTCTCTGTGGCCACCCACTGCGGCTCTCCTCCATGAGGACCCCCCTTCTGGTGTCCATGGAGCTGGATGGTCTGGCATCCCCAGAGATGATGGGGATGGAGCCCCTTCGTGATGCAGCTTTGTCCTGGAGTGACAGAAGGGAACTCTCTATAAGGGGCTGGGGACCATGCTGCACCACCCTGGAGCAAACTCTGCGCTCGCTGCCCACAGCCTGCACTGCTCACACATGGTTTGCCCCATGCGCTGTGCACGGTATGAGCGGTGCTGGCCTCAGTACCCATGGAGAGAGCCACTGGGGGTGAGCTCCGTGGGATGGGGTGCAAGGGGCAATGGGGCTCTCCCTGCATGGGGCTGTCTCCCTGCCAGGTCCTCACAGCACTCCACAGAGCTGGGCTGTGCCAGGGCTGCCTGCAGGCATGGCTACAGATGGGAATGGCAAGATTCCTCTGACCTGAATCATCCCGGGCGGCTGCTGGTAAGGAGCATCGCCTGAGTCACCACTGCTGGGCTCGGCACGGGCTGGGCTGTGCTGGGACAGGGTGGAATGGTGTCCCAGGTCAGGACGTGGCTGCCAGCCCCTTTCCACCCACAGGGCCCACTTTGTAGCCTAGAGCAGGGGCTGGCGAAGTGGGGACCTGTACCTGTGCCTCCATCCTGTGTCCCTGGGAAGGGGCCCCCAGAGAGGCAGTGCCCCAAGGCTGTGGGGTGCAGGTGCACAGGGCTTGCACCTGTGGGGTACAGATGGTGTCCATGCTTTGCATGGGGGGCGATACTGGTGGAAGGGCTCTCCATGATGTTTTGGGGATGAGTGTATAGCAAAGCTCCCTGGCCCTCCGAGGCAGCGAGATGCAGCTCAGCCGGGCCCCAGGGTCTCAACGAGGGCCAGCCCTGGCGTCACTCAGGGACCAGAGCGCCGCCACTGCGTCACCCGTTATCAGCCCCAGCAGCCGCTGCCAGGCCGTGGCTGTGTCCCAACCCAGGCAGGGCAGGAGGGGCCTCTGTTCATCATCAGCACAACAGCAATGGTCTCTGGGTTGCGGGCTTTGCTTTTCTCCCTTCTTTTTTATTTTTTTTTTTTTCCTTCCCTCCCCTGTGGAAAACAATATTTGAGTGCCTAGATCATGCTGGCGTCTCCGGAGCCGTCTACAGCGAGCAGGGCTGACCTCAGCCCCCTCCTTCGCACGGTCCCCGGGGGCGCGGGAGGAAGCGAGCGCCGCGGAGTCGTGCCCAGGGGCCGTCTGGTTCCCACACCACGCAGCCAGGACGCCCGCCCGCTGGGCTCCCGCCTGTGCCTGGGAACGCATGGCCGCAGCACCAGCCCTGGGAGCACTACGGGAACCCATCGCTGCCCCGCGGCACAGACCCTGGCATGGAGATCCCATCCCCGATGGCTGTGGGTCACGGGAAGGTGCCCGGTTAGCATGCAGTGGGATGGGTGCCCCCGTGCAGGAAGGAAGCAGAGGGGCTGCGTGGGAGCGTCACCCTGAGGGTGATCCAGACCCAGCCCTGAAGGCTGCACCCTCAGCATTGCTGCTCCCTACTGGGATGGAGTGGGGCAGAGCCCACTGCCTCCTCTGCCCAGATGCGCTGTGCATGGATGCCCTCCCTCCATTGCCCCCCATGCTTGCAGCTCCCACCGTTAGCTCAGCTCTGGCCATGGCCCGCTTCTCTCCCTGCCCTTCCTCCCCCCGCCTCGCTGCCGACTCACTGGGTGGCCTGGCCTCGACCCACTCATGTCTGGGACCATGCTGCAGCGGGTGCTGGCATGGGAGCACAGACCCCCAGCTCTGGGCAGTGCTGCACTGCCATGTGCTGCTGCACAGCATCTCCCTGCTCGCCTTCCTTCCCCTCTGGGGCTACCAGTGGGGTCACAGCACCAAGAGACCCCCATGTGACGGGAGACTCACAGAGGCTGACTGCAGTGAGAGCGCACCAGGTTAGGACCGTCTCCATCGCTGTGCCCCCAGCAGTGATGGAGATGCAGTGGTGACCCACCTGTCTAGAAAGGGAGAGGAGGGGGCTGCAGAGTGGTGGTCTCCATCACTTCACACCTGGACTGACCGCCCCACATCATCCTGCTCTGGGGCAGCCATGGCCCAGCCGTGCTCATCTCCGAGTGCTGCTATGGTAGGCTGGCTCTGTGCCACTCCCACGCAGCTGCGGCTGAGAACTGGCACCCACAGCACCCGTGGGCACCGGGGCTGCCCTGCAGCTCACCCTGCAGCCCCCGTGGCCCAGGGCAATGCACGGCTCCTGGGGCCCAGACAGGAAGGAGACGTCACCGCCGCGGAGAGTAACTCAAACCAGATGGGGCCGCGCTGTTCTCCAGGACCGCAGGGTGGTCACCGGCAGGAACTGGTCAAAGGCTGCCGGCAGGAAGCGGGCTGGGAGGGACGCCCTGGGCCCAGCAGCAACCCTGCCTGCTCTGCCTTAACTGCTTCGGGGCCGGAGGGCACGGAACCCCACAGGTGTGGGGTGGGAGGCGGTGGGACCCCAGGAGCCTTTGTTAGGGCACAACTTCTCGAGCAGCGCTGAAGCCGTGAGGACACCTTTGTCTGTCTGCCTGTCCGTCTGCCCATCCATTCATCCCCTTCCCACCAGCACCCCCCAGCCACGATCTGCACACACCCTCCTGGAAGCACTGCCTGGGGCCACCCTCGCTGTCCTTCTGTCCCTTCTGCACAGGACAGGATGCCGTTCCCATCCCCTCACCTACCAGCAACGCTCGGTTCCCAGCTGCTGGCCGCACACCCGTGAGGCTCCATCGCCCCTGAGGCCAGCACTGGCCGTGAGGCTGCTCTCAGACCTGTACATTTATTTACAAGAAGCCGAACGCACCGGTGTGGGCTCTCCAACGTCACGGCCCTCACCCCAGCTGCAGGGATGGGGAGCGTGGTGCCATTCCTGCGCCACGAGGTTGGGGCTCATGGGGACGAAGGAGGGGACGAGGGTTGGGTGGGAAGCGGAGCTGCGCCCGCGGCCCCGGCACGGCCATGCTGGCTGCGGGGGGACGCTGGCGGGCGGCAGTTCCTGTGTGTTGGTGGTCAGAGCTGAAGCAATCCTCCGGCGCGGGGGGAGCGCGGCCAGCTGCTCTGCATTAGGATGCCTTTATCTGGCGGGGACGTGTGAAGGAGCGGCCGTGCTGCTCCCCCGCTGGCAGCGTGGAGGGCAGGGGTGAGCAGCAACACAAAGGCTCCTTCTTCGCTCGCCGGCTCCCAGCTGGGGATGGATGCTCCTGGAAGCGAGCTCGGATGCTTCCTCCCTTCCTGTGCAGCCCTCCCGGCGAGCAGCAGCGCGGGGCCAAGTCCGGCTTCCTTCGGCGGGGAGGAGCCGCCGCAGCACCGGTCCTGTTCCAAGCGCCGGGGTGTGGGTCCCCGCCTGCTTCAGCATCCCCGCACCGTGGCACTGGCATCGCTGCGGGAGAGGAGCCCAGCACTGCAAAAAGGGTCCAACGAAGCGATCGCGGGGCACTGCTGCAGCATTTACAAGCAGAGCTGAGCGCCAAGCGTGGATGCGAGCGCGTGGGCTGCCCGTGCAGCGGGGCTCATCCTGAGCCGCCCCAAAGGCAACTGAGAGAAGTGCGAGCGTGGTGTGGGTGGGACATTGATGGGTGCGGGGAATGGCGGCTGCACGGCCGTGGCAATGAAGGGGGGAGCGTTGTGGGGATGCGGATGGTTCAGGCCCTGAGAGTCCATAAAGGTGGGAGCAGGTGAGGAGCGCACAGAGTCTGTGCTCTGAGCAGCCCCGCAGCACCCGCACCAGCGCAGCGGCCACGAGGGATGCGGCAGAGCTGGAGCGGGGCCGGGGGTGGAGCAGGGTCGGTGCCAGCCCTCTGCCCCACAGTGGGATGGATGCAGGTGGGGCCGCCCCCGTACAGATCCTGCTGCGTCCAGGAGCCGGACTCGGGCACGGCCCCAAACCCATAGTCTGGCCCGAGCTCACGGTGCTCAGCCCACACCCGTAATCAGACACCCAGCGCCGTCAGCGAGCCCGAGCTGGTGATCTTCCTGAAGCGGTTGGCGGCACAGACCCCAATGAAGTTTTTCTGCAGAAGAGAAGAAGAGAGGCGTGAGTCCCACTGCAGACCTCTTGGTTGCGCCCAGAGGGGCTCCCAGGGCTGGTTCAGGAACCCACCCAGGAACATTCTGTCCTGAGCCCCTAAAATAAGCCCTTGGGATGCACCTGGGGGGAAACTGCCTGGGGATCCTCAAGCCTTCCAAGGCAGCGCAGCAGGATGACCTCAACCCCATCCCCTCCCATCCCTGCACACCTTCCAGCGCCGTCGCATGACGTATTTCTTGAGCAACACCTGGGACTTGAGGCGGCGGTTGCAGCGTTTGGCTTTCTCTGCCAGGTTGGTGAGCCAGGGGTGCTGCAGGCACTGCCCTGCACTCATCCGGGCGCTGCGGGGTGAGAGAGCAGCTGTCAGCCCACGGCCCCTGCCCACAGGCGGCCCCTTCCCGTGCCCCATCTGTGAGCCCTAGCATAGGCTGTGCTCCAACCACCAGCCTTGAGGGCCAATGGGAAAAGCGGGTCACAAATGGTCCCACACATCTCATTGGGTAGCCCTAACAGGGACAAGCCGGTGGCTTTGGGGATGCCAATGGCCCCAGCACAAAGAATGGCACACGGGTAGAGATGAGAGCACACAGGTGGGGGACCGCCATGGCTGCCGCCAGCTCCGCACCTCTTCTCTTTGATGATGAGGTTGGAGACAAAGTCCTTGGCCTCATCAGAAACGCTCTCGAAGGTCTCCTCGTCGAAGTACCAGTTGGCTGCCAGGACGTTGTTGAGTGTTTCGGTGTCGTTGTCACCCAAAAAGGGGGAGAGGCCGCTGAGGCTGGGGGATTAGAGGGCCGGTGAGCAGAGGGTCTTGTGCTGAGGCACCCGAACTCCCCTGTGTGCCAGCATGGGGACCACTGTGTGCCCAGGGGAGCAGAGGGGGGTCAGCCCAACGTACAGCATGTAGGTGATGACTCCCATGCTCCACATGTCTGTGGAGTAGGAGACCTGCTCGTAGTTGACCACCTCAGGGGAGAGGAACTCAGGAGTGCCAAAGTTCACCTTCAGCTTCTCTTCGGGGTTGTACCTGTGGATGGGGCGGTGATTCAGCAGGGGGTGACAGGCTGTCCCCAAAGCAATGTCCCCCCCGGGAAAGGAGCCCGCTGCCCTTCCCATCCCCCAAACCCAGTCCCACCCTGAAGGGTGGGAGCAGGCATGGAAGGAGCCGAGGGAAGAAGGGGAACACAGCACCTTCGAGCCAGCCCAAAATCAATGATCTTCACCATGTGCCCGGTGGCAGTGACGCAGAGGATGTTCTCGGGCTGTGGGGACAAGGACAGGGGGTCAGCGGGGGGGGATGGGGACACGTCACCCACACCCAGGGCACAGCGGTGCTCCGTGTCAGTGCTGCCCAGAGCCCTGCGAGCCCCGTCCTTTCCAAAAGCCTCGAGTGAACTCACCTTGAGGTCGAGGTGCAGGACGCGCATGTGGTGCATGAAGCGGATGCCCTCGCAGATCTGCCGCACGAACACCATGCAGTCCACCTCTGTCAGGTGGTAATCGTCGTCGACGATCCGCTCAAAGAGCTCTCCGCCCTCCACGCTGTAGGCACAGGTAGATCCCTGGGTCACCGGGGGCTCCGTGTCTTCCTGTAGAACCCCGAGCCCCCAGCACCACGGGCACAGCCAGGGTGGGAAGTGCATGCTGGGGTCATCGCCAGCCCCAACACAGCCGTGCACAGTATTGCCCCCGAGACAGAGGTTGCTCCAATCCCAGAACAAGAAGGAAGGTGGGACAAGCAGTGCTGGGGACGTCCCTCGGTGCTGACCAGCTCTGCTTGGTGTGAGGCTGGCACCTATTCTCCATCCCCACGCATGGACACAGCCTCCCTGCCATGCTGCCCCTCACCCAGGCATCAGGCACCGTGCAGCACAGCCCCAGAACTCACAACTCCAAGAAGAGGATGATCTCCCGGGGCGTCTCGATGGCATCGTAGAGCTGGATGAGGTTGTGGTGGTTCAGCTGGTTCATCACGTCGATCTCCAACAGCACCATTTCCTGTGGCAGGACCCCCACCATGGCACTGCTGTCAGACCCAGCTGATCCCCAACTCCACATGCCCAAAGCCAGGCTCCCATCACAGACCTTGTCCTTGGCTCCATGCTTCCGGATGACTTTGGCAGCCAACTTGAGCCCCGTCTGCTTCTCCGTGCACGTGTGTACTTCACCGAATTTTCCCCTGAGGAGAGAAAGGTGTTGATGGCATCACGGCTGCATCCCGCTCCCTGCACCCATCCCGCACATCATGCTGCAGGTCGGGGCAGTCCTGGGGGCTCGGAGCCACCCCTGGGAGCCAAAGGGATTCGGGTGTCCTCAGCCCTGCCATCCCACTGCCCCTTACCCGCCTAGGATTTCCTTGGAGCTGAGGTTGTACTGGGAGCTGATGCTGCCCGTCCGCAGCGAGACGATGCGGTGCACAAAGGGAGCGGGAGGAGGGGGGACATCATCTGCCGAGAGAGGAGGGGAGTGAGAGCAGCGCTGCGCCACAGGGAGCCCATCGCTGGGACTCCCGGCTGCGAGCGTCTCGGGTGCTGCAAAAAGCACGGTCTGCCAGAGCCTGCCAGCAGCTGCCCCGGCACCTGCAGCACTGCCGTGCCGCATATCACCTTGCTGCATATCACCTTGCTGCGTGCCACTCTGCCATGTGTCCGCTCACCATCCGCCGGGCTACCATCCCACGTGTCACGCTCGCCCTCTCCAGGCCACGCGGCTGTGCGTCACCCTCAGCGGACCACTCTCCTGCATGTCACACTCGCCCCCTCCATGCTGTACCTCGCTGCCTCCGTGCCACCATCCCTGTGCCACACTGCCCTTCTGTGCCACCACATCCCACTCACCCACCCAGGACAGACCCCACAACAACAGAAGCCCCTCGAACAGCCCCCAGCCAGGGATCACTGCAGCCCCCAGCCCTGCTGTGCCCCCCAAGGACGTGGTGCAGGACATCGGGACACGCTGTCCCCTGCCACCAGCCAGGCGGTGGCTGTCACTCCGGCCACGGGGACGGCTCCTGTCCCTTTGGGCAGCCCCGGGAAGCACGATGTGTGCCAGGCTGAGGGCCGGGAGAAGCCTGGGGAGGAGACGCGCCGCATTTAGCCCTGTTTACAGTGAAACTGGAGCTTGAAGACTGCTGGATGGGCCAGGAGCCAGCAGCATGAGCTGGCACCCCAGGAGGGCGGCAACAGAGATGTGAATACACCCCAGGGCTGCTGCACCCCTGAGGGTGCTGGGGTGTCATCTCCACAGGGCTGAGGGCATGGCACAGATCTGCCGTGGCGCAGCCTTACCTAGAATCTCAAAATGGTCTTCCTTCCCAAAATCGGGGGTGAGGTAGGGGCTGGGTGGTGGCTCTGCCACCGTCGCAGCTGGCTGCCCCATGGCCCCAGGGCCCGGCTGCTCTGCGTGCCCAGGGGGCTCTGACCCAAGCTGGGGCTGCTCCTCGGCACCAGGCAATGTCCTCTCCTGTGGGACGGCGGTGCTGCCCACAGGGACGGGCTGCTCTGGGGGCTGCAGATCCCCCTGGGCTGGGCTGGGCTCCACCAGACCCTCTCCTGCTGGTTCCATAGGGGTTTCCTCTGAGATTGTCTCCATCGCAGCCACCTCCAGCCTGAGCTGCTCCTCTCTGCAAGCGGGAGCGGGAGGTGAGCATCACCCTGAGCCCAGCCCCCAACCCTGCCCCAGGATGGGACCCATCCTATGAGGACCCCATCCCAAAGGGTGAGCACTGGGTACCTCTGGCAGGTGGCCGGGCAGCTCAGGCTCTGCATCAGAGCTGGACGTGTGGGCTCGGGTCCCCTCAGCGGCTGCTCCTTGTTTGTCTGCTCTGTGTTGGCCTCTTTCTCCACTTCACCCTGAGTCCCTGCAGCAGCCGGGGCCTCCTCTGTGGGCTCCTGCCCTCCATCCTCAGCCTTTGCTGCAGCTGGGGGCTTCTGTGCAGCATCTGTAGCCTTCTCCTTTGCAGGTGCCGTGGCTTTCTCCTTCGCAGTCTCTTTGCCTCCATCCTGAGCCTTTGTCACCATTGTATTTTTTTCCGCCTTTGTGGGTTTCTTCCCTCCATCCTTTGCAGCAGCAGGGGCCTTCTCCTTTGCAGGCTGTTTTGCAGCCGGGCTTTTCTTTGCCTTTGCAGCATTTTTCCCTCCATTCTCAGCCTTCACAGCAGCCGGCTGCTCCTTCACAGGCTCTCCCTCACCATGGGCTGGTGTTGCAGCTGAGGCTGCAGCTGAAGCCACCTTTGTGGGCTTTATTTCTCCTCCAGCCTCAGCTCCTGGAGCACCTGGAGCATTCTCCTTTGGAGATTCTTCGTGAGCCCCTGCTACAGCTGAGCCCTTCCCCTGTGCAGGCTCTGCTGTCTCTCCTTGGGACTCTCCCGTTGGGGTTTTCTCCTTCCCAGGCTCTTCCTTCCCTCTGTGGGTCTCTGCAGCCAAAGCCCCCTTCTTGGCAACTTCCTTTTCCCCACCACCCCCATGCGGTGCAGCATTTAGGACTTTCTCCTGCTCAGGCTCTGCCTTCCCTCCTTCGGGCTCAGCCTCCTCTCTCACTGCACCGTGAGCCTCAGCAGCAGCACCCGGAGCCGTCTCCTTCCCAGGCTCCTCCTTCCCTGCAGCAGTTGGCACTTTCTCCTGTGCGGGCCCCGCCGTCCCTCCACGTGGCTCTCCTGCAGCACCCACAGCCATCTCCATGGGCTCTTCCTTTCCTCCATTCTGAGCCTGGACAGCATTGGTGGCAGCAGCGGGGGCAGGCTGCGCTGCGCTGGTCTCTGTTCCAGGGGGGGCCGCACTCCCAGACCCCCCCGCATCGGCAGTGCTGCCCGGCACGTCGTGCTGCTCCATGGGCTTGGGCGGCCGCCCCGGGTCGGCGAGGCTCCTGCAGGGAGAAGACATGAGTTGGGGGCACTGGGGAGCAGCGGGATGCACGTGGCTGCCACACTGCCGTGGTGCTCCGCTATCTGCCCCGCGGTGACTGATCAGCAGCCTGACACCGGCACCTGTTGTGGTCACGGTGCCATGCGGACAGTTGGGGCAGCTGGGGGCCCATGGGTGCACATGTCCTGGTGTGACTGCCAGGTTGGCACTATGTGAGCCCCCAGCCCAGCTCTGTGAGCCTCCAGCCTGGCACTACAAACTCCCAGCCCAGCAGCATATTCATACTCCACTTCCCACAGCCCTGACCGTGCTCAGCCACGAGCTCCGTTCTCCCAGGACCCAAAACACGGCTCCCTGCACGTCCGTCTCTGAGGTATGGGTGGCCCATCCCAGGAACAACCCCCCCAGCAACCCTTCTGGCCACGGAGCTGCTTTTACAGGGCTTCCCACAGCTTCTGCAGTGCCTTGTGCTCAACCCTGTGCCTTTGCGGTTTAGGTGAACCTACGGCCACCACGGAGCTGGTGACCCCGGTGACTGCACGGACCCTTCCGCCCACCCCATAGCCCCCATCTCCTTTACCTGGGGTCCCCGGGGCAGAGGGCAGTCAGGAGAGCAGCATCCGCGGTGTGGCAGCGCCTGGAGGGGAGCAGCCCCTTCTATACTGGGTGTAACGGAGCCGGATTAGTGCGGAGAGAGAGGGGTATCCTTTACACCAGCAGGAGCCGGCCCGCTTCGCCTTTCCCAGCACCTGTTGCTGCTGGAGCCCGTTCAAAGGACACGCCACTCTTCCATGTGCTCCCACCGGCCAGAACGCACACAAACAGCGAGCGGGAGCCGGCACACGGCCACCAGAGAGAGAGAGGGAGGGCTGGAGGTGGCCCCGTGCAGGGACTGCGCCGTGCCTCGCCGCTGGGGACAGCCCTTGGCCAGGGCGTGCTGGATGCTGCCCAAAGGACTGAGTGCTTCCAAGGCGCCCACAGGGAACACGGGGCGGTCACTGCATGGAGATGGCACTTGAGAGCCATCCATAAAGGTGCCACGGAGCTGCCGGTGGCTTTGCCCATTGGTGCCAACTCTCAGGGACAGTGGCTTTGGAGCGATGCCGTGGGGTGCCACGGGCACAGCCAGCTCTGGGCATTGCTGCTGGGGACCAAGAAAGAAAGGGATATCCACTGGGAACTGAAGTACCAGCCCATATCCCTGTCGTTTGGAAGCAGTCGGAAGGCACCGAGTTCAGAGTGCATGTCTGGGGATCAGGGGCAGAAACAAAGACACCGGGGCTGCTGCTGGGTGCACCACGAGCCCACGGTGCACAGCAGGGCTTTGGGGCTGATCGAGTCCCCAGGGCTGTGCCAGCTCCCTGCTCCCAGCAGAGCCTTCTTTACCTTAAATCTCTGAAACCTAAGGTGAGGAACGCGCTGCTCACAAGGGCACAGACATCCCCCGTCGCTCGGGTTTCTGCAGGGGGTGGAGGCGGTCAGTTGAGGCTTTCAGGAGGAACCCCCAGTAACCGGACCCGGCCCTCCCCGCTGGATGAGGGCGCTCCAATTATAACAGCTCCTAAAGCCGAGAGCACTGATTTATCACGCGGTGGCAGCCGGAGCACCAGCGCCCTGAGGAGGAAGGGCTCAGCCTTTTGCCTGCATTGCTCCTTTGAGAGGGGACAGCAGAGCTCTTGGCTCGGTGATGCACCATAAAGTAGAGGGAGCAGGGGAGGGAGCCGCCCCGAGGCACACGGGGCCAAGGATTCGCTCCTGACCCCGCTCCTGCTGCCCTGCGCCGTCCCCAGGAGCACCACTGCTGCTGCTGCTCGGGCACTGCATGCAGTGTGGGTAGGGGGCGGCCCAGTGCTGGTCCTTGGGATCCCCTCCGGCAGAGAAGCCCCGGGAGCTGCGGGGTTGCCCTGGCACAGTGTGCACAAAGAGGTGGGAAGGGGCTTCAGGACCACCCGTGGCACCAGCACTGCTGTGCTCTCCCTCCTGTGGGCATCGAGGGGGAAGAGAGCTCTGTCACACAGCAGTTTCTGCTCTCAGCACAAACCCTGCTGGCAAAAGGAGCTCTAAAACCAACCTGGGTGGGAAAAGCTCCAGGATAAGCCTATAAAAGACCTGGGTCATGCTCTTTCTTAATCAATGTCAGTGGAAAGTGCAGGGTGAAGCACAACCTTTTCAGGTGCATGGCTGCCAGCGGCCTCATGTCCCACTGCTGAATATCGAAGCAGAGCCCCACAGTGGGGCCAGCACTTCCTGTGCCAGGGGGATGCAGTGCTCACAGTGTGAGCAGATGTTAATGCTGGGCACTGGCTGCCCCTGAGCCTTTCCTCATCCTTAGCACACATGAGATGCTCCCAGTGAGCTTGCAGGGCTGTGGCCGGGGTCAGCCATGGTCTGTGCAGGGCATGAAGAGCAGGATGCCAGGTGAGGATACGGCCACCGCTGGAGGAAGCCCAAAGGCCTGGGGCAGGAAGGGCTGTGATCACATTTGCTTCTGCAGCAGAGAGGAGCAGTGAAAATACCCCCAGCACCCTGCTGCCCGCTCCAAATGGAAGAGGCTGGGAAAGAAGCAGTTCTTCCTTCTCCTTCGCTGCTCGTACCCAGGGCTGGGGTTCAGGGTGAGGCTTAAGCAAAAAAGAAAGCACAGCGTGGGGCTGGGAGCTGCTTCTGATAGCTCTGCACGATGCCAGAACCTCAGGCATCTCCCACCACAACCACAACGCGAGCAGCAACAATCGCTCTGAAGGATGCAGCCTCACTGCAGCCCTGGCAGCGCAGGTTCATGGCTGCAGGCAGCCGGGCTGCGCTCCCACGGCTCAGCTCCCCTCCTCCAGAGATCAAAGGCAGCGTCTGGTATTCGGCAGGGCACCAACGGGGTCACACAGGAGCGGATACGGCGCTTCCGCCACCCCATAAACGCGTGACGGCCGTGCTGGGGCATCGTGGGCACGTGGGGCTTCGGGCAGCGCTGGTATCCACGGCTCTCAGGGACTGCACAGGGACAGCTCTGTCGTTGCCAGCCGATGGCCTGGCCTCCATGCATTGGTGCCAGGCACCTGGAGGCACCTCCCTGCAGCCACGGGCTCACAGCGGGTGCCCCCTCTGCACGGCACGCTTGGGAAGTGACTGAGGGCAAAGGAAGGGAGCTGCATCCCAACTCCGCAGGCCAGGAGCAGCAGCCGGAGCTCAGCGAGCCTCCTGGTTCATCCAATCTTAATCTCATTAAGAAGCTGCTGGGGCACGGGAGGAAATTTCAGGTGAGGAGCAAAGCTCTTGTGCTCTCTCAGCACAAACGTGGCTGTCTTAAAGAGGTGTGAAGGAAGAGCATGCTGCAGCTTGTTTTGGTGCTCCTACAAGACCACGTTTTGCAGGGAACGGGAAGCAAGCTGGATGAAGACGGCCGTCTCACAAGGAAGATTCGGAGTGCTGTAGGAAGGGCACAGCTGCTGCACTCTGGGTTTTGGGGCACGGAGCTCCAATCTCTGCGGATCGCAGAAGACAAACCAACCACCACTGGCGGTTCTCAGGCTGTAGGGGTTTTATTTGCCTCCCCATTCAAGTACTCAAGCCATGGTCTACATTGGCTGCAACTGGAACGCAGGCTGTCGCAGGGAGGGCTGGCACAGCACCAAGCACACCGTTCCCAAGCGACGCGGTTGTCACAACTCCGGCAGCGTACTTTAACCTTTATGCTTTCCATGGGTGAGGAAGGTTCTTTGCACAGCCAAGCCCCATGCAGGAAACCCAACACCTCAGCTAAATCGAGCAGTGGGGCCATGAGCAGAGCCCACCTGAGCACTGGCTGAACCACGGTAACACAAGCCAGCCTGCCTGTCCCCACAGGGACAAACCCAGACCTGTGGTCAACAGCTTCACTGCCTCTATGTGCGCTGCGGGCCAGCCACAGTGCTACCATGTCGGGTGTGATGGAGGTGAGGACAGGGAGAAATCCCAATGCCATCAAGAGATGCTTTGCAGAGCTTCCAGCAGCTGAGAGCAGGCAGACAGAATCGAGGCCAGGGGTCTGACAGCGTAACAAAGCCATTTTAGTCAGGATCCTCTTTGCCAGCTGATAAAATCCTCCTGTTCTCAGCTACCATTCAACATAAAGCCCAGGAAAACATTGCCTTTCGTTCCAGCTCTAGTGTGAGTACAGCAAGTTACTCCACAGAAACAACAGGACTTAGAAAAACAACGCTGGAGATTTGATGCTGGAATTTCCCCCCGCTCCAGTTCTCCATCATTATTCCTGCTCCCAGTCCCCCTCACCCTCCAAGCACGTTCAAAGCTGATGAACTTTGAGTTGTGGTTCTGCCTCTTCCTCCTTGGCACGCAGCTCCCCCCAACAACCAGCATTTATTGCTTTCCAGCACATGGATGTTTTCCTCCTAATTAAGAGAGCAGCTTAAGATTCTGTACCCCATTCAGCAGCACTGCCTGCTGCCCCATGCAGCATGGCAGCTCCAGGCCCTCTTTCACCAAGTTTGCAGTTTATGGGGAATATAAGAGGCCATATCTGCAGGAAGAGGTAATATCTTTTATTAGCCTCTGTGATATAGTTGGAAAAAAATGGCAAGCTGTCGGGCATACAACCCCTTTCTCAAGTCCAAAGCAGAAGCCATGTAAGGCCGTCACGGAAACACAGTTGCTCCATCATTCAGGGATCGCTGTCTGCTGCAGCTCAGCAGCCTCGTTATCCTGCTTGCCTTCACATTCTTCCACAGCTCGTCAGCATTCAGGTTTCCCTCTGCCTCGCCATGAATTCACAGCTCCAGCAGCCCACGCGCTGCCTGCTTCACAGGAACTGGCAGTGGGGGCTGGAGGAGTTTCTTGGTGGCACATTCAAAGTCCCAGTTTCTGTGTCTGGCAGCTCAGATGGAACAGCTCCATCATGCCAGCAGTAAGCTTACGGCACACTGAGAAAAGGCTGCACACCTTTGGCCAGGGAGAGCCGTGCAGACCTGAGCATTTTCAGCAAGAAGTGATGAAGAGCACGCTCACACGCTGCTCCTGCATTCTGCAGACCATGGGGCAGCATCATTCACCCACACACAGATCTCGAGGCCCTCAGTCACTTTCTAACTGCACGGTACTCAAGAGAACACACACCTACATCCAAGCAAGAACCTCCAGGTACAGCGAATGCCCAGCTTTCAGTTGAGCTCTCATAGGACTTCCTGCCCCTATCAGTTCTTCAGAGAAAAGCCTGCAGTCTTACACACCTCAAAATTCTACCACGATGCTAAGGGATCATCTGAGTGAGCTTTAATCTGGATTTGAACATCTCTTCACAACGCTGCAATTTTTGTCCTCTAGCACCTCAGACCATTTGGTCTATATTTAGTTTGGCTGTGCTAGACTGGCCAGGAGACAATGCATCTTTAGCCAACATAGCTGTGCTGGCACAAGCCAGAGAGGCAGCAAAACAGCAAGAGTCATTTGCCAGTTAACTGGTTCCCCAAATAGAATGACTTCAGTTATAAAACAGCAGAAGGTTTAATGCTCTACCACACACAGAACTACTTTAAAGCAAGACAAGACAAATATCAGCATTCATCTAAACATCATGACAGACCTCTGACACACTGGCTTGTGGAAGTCTCATATTATTCAACATGACTCAAACTTAATATATTGTAAAAGCCCAAGAGACAGCAAACTGAAATCAATACTTAGGTGTACAAAGGCAAGGCAGCTCTTCAGGTGCACACAGCCCCGCAGGTTCAGAGTGTCCTTTAAGAAGAGCTCTCTTGGAACGAGACTGAGCCTGCTAGCAAGAGACAGCAGTCAAATCATGACTTTTTTTTATTTAGTTTAAGTACACAATGTTTGTATGCAATATAAAAACCTGGTTTAGTCTTAGGAGACTAAGATGTCTAGATGTAAAAATGAGGCCACGGAGGCTGCGTGGCTCTGTGCTGTGCCTCTGCCATCTGCCTCAAACGGAGTCAAACCACTCAAACGATAACGGAGCCAAGTGTGGCTGTTGAGACCGGGGGGATCCACAAACAACTGCTCCTCCTCTGCACGTCAAGGGGCAGAGCAGGACGTGCTGTATTCCTGCTATCACAAGGATGCACGTCAGCATCGGAATCTGTCCGAGAAGTTTGGAGATTTGGGCATAGTCAGCGGCTGCTCGCTGGGCTTCACTTCTACGCTGCGGTATCTGCGGATTGGGTTTGCCTTGTGAACCTGGAAAACCAACGTCAACGTGAAGAAATGGCTGCACTTATGATGAAGCTGAAACGTGCAGGCAAGCATCTGATCTGCCCTGGTCACTGGAGTGAGGCACGAGGAGCACAAGACACCGAGGCTGTGGGTTTCACTAGGATTATTCCACTCCACATGTGTACAGCTCCAAAATCAGTTCTCAGCCACCTTTTCAGTTTTTACTTTTAAGCTGGGACATCAGTAAGGAGGCTGTGACAGGGAGACTTGAAAATACAGTCTTAAAGCAGTTCAACATTGACATTGGCTCATTTAGTACACTCACACATTCCTTTGGGTCCCTGCTTAGAATGAGTTCACTTACCAGTTCTTGTCTTAGCTTAGCAATTTCTTCCTTTTCACGTTCCTCTTCTTGCTGTCTGACTCGTTCTTGAAGCTTCTCTCTTCTGGCTTCTAGGTTTGCCAATCGCTTTTCAAACTCCTGTCGCTCTTTAGCTCTTTTTTCTGTTGCCAGCTCAAAGCTTTCAGGAACTACAGAACCAGAAAGGCTCTCTAAGTTTAGAAATAGAAGGAATAACATTGGTGCAAAGGCAGCCAGGTAAAGCAGAGCAGTACTAATATCAAGAAGCAGCCTCCCTGTGGAGAGCTTCATCTTGTGAGGGTAGTTAGTAGACACTTCTGGGGTTCCAGGGAAAAGCTTACAGTTCAACATAGTAGCACTAACGCAGACACTGCCCATGCCACAGGTGTTCTCACAGGAGGGAGCAAGCACACAGTGGTTAGAACAAACAAGTTTTTGACTCCTGTACCCTATGAAGTTTCTAGCTCCACATAAACTAAGTTGTAGATGCATTCATCTCATTACAAATGGGAAGAAAAGACTGACAGCTGCTGCAGAATTGCCATCTGTCTCTACAGGGAGCTCCTTGCATACTGTTTACCCTTGTCCCAAGCTAGCACACACATCAATCATCCGCCAATTGTAGCATAGCTGTGAAATACAGCTGCCATGTTGGCGTGGGCCAGGGGGGCAGCAGAGAGGAAACTCCCCCACACTCCCCAGGGAGGCAAGCTGTTAGGGAATTAGTTAAGTGCACAGCACCCCTGGCTGCACTGATAAAGAAAGAGGCATCAGCCAGCCTAAGCATCACTAATTGCATCAGTTCTGAGTTACAACCAAGCCTAGGTAGCAAGTACTGTACCTGATAGCATCTTATTTTCCTTTTTAGGCACAAAAGGCTCCTGGTACACCACTACATTGGGACGAGCTTTAAAACATGCTGCCTCCTTCTGCTTTTTCAAGTCTTTTTCAAGCTGCATGAGAAGAGAACCCATCAAGTGCCAGGAATAACAAAAACACCATCTTTCCCCCCCCACACAGAATTCAGCACTCCAGACACTGGAAAAGCCAGGCTGCCTTCAGATTGGATCACTTGCACAGAAAACATTATTAAAGCCAAGAAGATGTGTCACTTGTTGCCTGCCAGTTACTTTTGGGAGGAAAAAAAAAAGCTCAAACAGTTTCAGATCACAGACCAGGATAATCTTCAAGTTTCCACTGCAAACTTGACGTGAGAAAAGCAATATATTATTCATACATCAATAAATCCTTCAGCACAGAGATGGTCAAAGGGATTCAGCAGCACATAGCTGCTGCTTAGCAGATACCCCACAGCTGTTCATGCAGTCATGGGAAGCCCATCACCCACTGTAACGGGTGAAAGAAACCCAAATCACCAGTCCCTTACTCATGATAAAATCCCATGCCAAGTACAGAGCAATCCATTCAACTTACACCCTGATCTCAAGTGCTGAAGCTGAGCTCAATCCCAGCTACTTTCAGTCTGCTCCTATCTGTTACCTTTGCTACCTTACCTGCTGTTTCCAGCTCTGTTGCTTGGCAGCTCCCCGCTCGTCAACCTGTAGATTGAATGGCTCAGGCTGAGTTGGGGTTTTGACCTTCTTTTCTGGCAGCTTCACGTGGTCAAAATAAGGCAGAGGCAACGCCTTGAACTTTGGCACCTAAAAGAAATAGCTTGAAGTATTCCTTGCCCCTTCTGCAAATGCATAAAGCTTGGGATGCTTAACAGACAACAGCAAGAAGCAAGTCCTGCAACAAGCTTTCTATTATGAGGTGGAATACAGGGTGCTTTCTAGCTCTTACCTCTTCCTTCTGCAATTCTTCTATTTTTTTCTCTTTCTGTATTAGCCGCTCTCTGTCACGGGAATCAAAAGAGAAGGGGCAAACTTCCACATGCCTCTGTTCTGGCATTTTAGGTTTGAAAGGCACTCCGTAGTGTGGCATAGGGTGAGCTTTGATCACAGGGGCAACCTCCTTTTCCTAAAGTGATAGCAGTATTAGGATCTGACGCACAGCACTCTGCAGCAAGGTTACAACTCGGGCCCCAATGTCTAGAATCCCTGTAGTAAGGGTCAGAATAACTTCAAGAAAACACTTCTGATACCACAAGAAAGTAATAAACCAAGTAGCACCAATATACAGGCATGGTTGGACAACATTTGATGCCTCATTCAGCTCTTAATCCAACTCTGGGTGTATATAATTTGAACCATCTCCTTCAGTAACCGGAGCGAGACAGCAACTAAGCTGAAAGGGAAGTGCAATATCTGTCCTTCTCAAAGAGAGAAAGCCAATATCCTTTATTCTCTGGAACTAAGCAGTTTACTTTCCCCATTTGCAGAGGCAACTCATCTAACAGCCTAGGCAGTGTCCTCATGTTTTAAAAATTCTGCTCTTCCCCAAGACAATTCACTTTCTGTGAAATGTAGCAGTAATTCAATCTTTAGCAAAGAATGGCACCAAGAAAGGTGCCCACGGGGGGACTGCCCAGCAGGAGGAAAGGGCTGGCCAAACCAGAGCATCACACCAACCAGCAAACATGACAGGATGACTGAGGCAGTCACCAAGGTGGAAGAGGAAGGCTTCACACAGCACATCCACAGTTACCTTCTCTTCATCTCTGCTAGTCATTCGGGTTCTGCTTTTCAAGGCAAAGACTGGAGACTTGGGTACAGTAACAGGAAGCACTTTCTTCTCTGGAACACCCTGTTCAAGACAGACAGTAAGGAGTCAACTCCGATCAACAAAAAAATGCCACAGATCAGCAGTCTTACATATTGCATTCATTGCTGTCCTTTGTTCTTACTCAATGACAGACAGCATTTACTGAAGACAATTAAATACACAATGAAACATAGCTGAATGAAGCTAGTTGTCACCTCAGTCCTAATTCCTGGGTATGATAAACTCACCACAACGTCCTCCAGGATTTTAGTTGGACACGGCCTGGAATGAAATTTGAAGTGCTCCTCTTCCTGCTGTTTCTTATTCTCACGGTCCTGAATTCTTTTCTCTATTTCCAACTCAAAGCCAATTGGCTGTGTGAGTTCCTTCACTGGGGGTTTCTTGGGCAGGATTGGCCCACCCTCCAAAATTTTGTGATCCAGCTCCCGTGCTTTGAATTTGTACCTACACAGGGATGATAAACAGTCACCTACACATTGCATGCAGCTCCTAGCAAATGGCTTCTCATGGCATAAGTCAGCAGCACTCGGGTTGTGCCACACGCGTGCATTGCTTTGTGTGCAGCTCTAGTTGGCAACTCCTTGGCTTTTGGAAAAAGCAAGACTTCAAGGATCACCTCAAGGATTGCACTCTTAGAAATCCAAAATTTAGTTTACAGGAGAGTTTTAAGCTATATGCAGATTATACATTGGTGCTATGTCAGATTGGCTTTACTAATCATAAGCTGCACTCAACAACCATCTCTTCTTGAAGACTCTCTTCTTCAAAATAAGTTGGCTGCTTTTATATCCTTACATTAACTACCACAGGATTGTGCACGACACCCAGAAGAAGCTGAAGTGTTTTTATGGTTCTTTCACACACACACAAAAAAGGGGTCTTAAGATGCAGTATTTTGTTCCAGTGATAAGCAGTTCTCTCAGAGGATCAGAACCAGCCTTTACTTACTGTTGAATTTTCTCAATTTCCTCTGCTTCTAGTTCTGCTGCACTCTTGCAGGCAACAGGTCTGAAGCGGTGCTTTGTTTGAAGCACTGGTGTTTTAGGGTTGGTAAGTCGAGCTTTCACTGGCTTTGCTGGAACTGGGCCTAAAATTGAAGTAACAGAGCTGAGCAGTTAATGGCAAGGCAGACTGCTTGCCCAGCAGAGCAAGCAGAGAGTCTCTGTGCAGTTTCCTGGCTGTATGTGTATGGGTTTGCTTACCTTCATCAGATTTCCTGCTCCTCAAATGGTAACGAGAGGGTGTGCGTTTCTGGAATGCTTCAACCTGCTGAGCAAGGGACACGTACTCTGATGAGGTGTCTTCCAGCTTTCTTTTGCTTCCCGTGGACAGATTGAAAGGTTTGGGGACAGTGGGTCCCTTTGGCATTCGCATCTGGAGAAAGAAACAAGACTGCAGTCATTATGGCCATTTAACAGAACGATGTTGTGAATCAGAGAGAGAAGGAAGCTGCAATTTCTTCCCCTTATTTAAAAAGGGGACAACACTTAACGTGACACAAATCTCTGAGCACGCATGATAGCCATACCAAAAACTGTACAAGGGAGAAGGCTGAAGCATAACATGTAGCAGCTAATAGATCCAATACTGAAGGGCCCAGCTTTGCCAAAGCATCCTTTAGCATCTTGTGCAGTGCAGGCACCCAGTAAGCCAACAGTTACAAACACACCACTCTCACCTCTCAAGAATTTACCAGCTGAGAGATACCAGCAGCACGTGTTGCAAAAGCAAAACAAAGGAAAGTAGTGTGCAGAATTACTCAGCTGAGTGCTGGCAATACTCAGGCTCTTACTGGAGAAGGAGGATGCTTCCTCAGCACTGCTGCAAAATCCACTTCCTTGTACTCCTTCTCAGGCTGGCTTTCCACATGTTGCTTAATTCTATTCTCTGTGCAGAAATGGAAGTCAACTGGCTTCGTTACTTGACCAACAGCTCTCTTCACAGGTTGTCCTAGGGAAGAAGAGCATGTAAGGACTGGAAACCTTTTGGGGTGTGGGATCAGAGGAAGACTTTTTTGGGAAGGGAAAAAAAAAAAAAACAAAAAAAAAAACCAAAAACAGTCCCTAATATCTGGTGAAGTTTTTAAAGAACTTATTTAGAATCTTTCAAAACACGACAAAATAAAACTTTGTTTCCAGGAAGTTTAAGGAGAAACGTACATAAAGCCACCTAAACCATAACACGTAGTACAAAGTCTGGAATGCTTGCTTTCCAAAAAATACCTGCACAGCTTCATGCAGCACTCTCCTCATGAGCCCAGCACAGGCTCAGCTTGCAGTTCAGCTGGAGCTCACCTGTTCCAGCAATAGCTGCCTTTAGGGACTCCTCATTCTTCTTCCGCAGCTCCACGACCTCCCGCTGCAGCTGCTGCATCTTTTCCAACTCCTGCTCCTCTGTACTCTTCAGCTTGCCAGCAGTATTGGTCCTCCTGCAGAAGCACAAAGACTGAGATATTCCCTTCCCTGGTTATTAGCATATTAGTGGACAGGAACATGCTCATCTCTGAGCTCACTGCAGAAGCACCATTCTTCCTACAAGTAGATTATTTAGAAAATACCTGTTGGGATTTTGTTTCCTCTGCCACCCCACGCAGCCATTTGTGGCATGCACATTTGATACAAGGTTTTTTCCCCCCTCAAAATTAAAGGGAAAGTTTTCCTTTGCACAGGAAGAGTCGATGAAGTATATTTCATGGTAACGTTGTTGCCTTGATCTCCTATTTACCAGGTGCAATGCCATGGCACTCCGAATTGAAGTTAGAAACACTACAGCAAGGATTGTCACCTAAACCAACTGTCATGAGCAAAGACAAGCTTCAGCCACAGCAAATGACCTACTTCAACATTGTTGGCGTGGAGGGCACGGTCAGTTTGTTTTTCCCTCTTGCTGGGGACAGGTCAGGATGATGCAAAAGCTCCTTCTTTGGGGATCCATCTGTCAGCTTCTCCTTGCTGCTAGAACTGAAGCGACGAGCTGTGAGGGCAAACCCCCGACTGCCACGCTCTAAACAAAAGATCACCTGCAGCTCTCACCATCCCACACAGCATCCCAACACCCAGTGAGTTAAGATATGCCAGATGGGCCTTACCTCACCACGGGCCCAGGCACAGACCGTTTAGTTTTCCCTGGCACCCTACGGCTGTAGAAGGGAAGATTATTTACTGCTTTTCCTTCTGAGGAGGTAAACGTGCTGTACTTCATCCAGGTGTGACTGTTTGCAAAACTGGCTTTGAAAAACAAAAAATATTTCCTGGCCCTAAGCTTATGGATAAGTAATATCTCAGCAGCTAAGCAAACCTGATAAATATTTTAGCTGTGACTCCTCCAACACTTACGACTAATGGTGACCTCCTGTCAGACAAGTGAAGCCAAATTCCAGCTAGCTGACAGACACTGAGTATGTAATAAAAAGCTTCAGATTCCCAAGCTTATTTCATTCACACCTTCACCATCAGAGCACTGAATTCATGTCTTACAGACATTTCTCCTCACCTATGAGACCACTATCCAAGAGCCAGGTTTTGGTCTCCTGCCCCTAACCTCCAGAACAGCTCTGAGAACCAAAGAACCCTGCCAGTCAAGTGGAAATCCTTTTGAAAGGAAATATTTTCAACCTCTTTCTCAGCCCCAAACAGAAGCTCTGACGACATACATTCTCATTTTTTTCAGGGGTGGAGCCTCTTCCTTGTTAGCCAACGCAGTAGCATTTTTCTCCACTTTCACTGCAGCTGGCTGTTTGCGTTGCTGTGTTTTCCTTTGCTTTGCAGCTGGTCTTCTGCCCGCTCTGCAGTGGAACAGAAAGCAGAGGTCAGCTTTCCCACCAGGTCCAAAAAGATGTGCAATCAGTACAGCACCACATCAGTGCCTTCCCCACTCCAACACGCTGTGTGCTTAATCTAACGGGCCAAATGCAGCATAAATGACCTAAGTTGTCAATCCACAAACATAAGTCTGTGGTGTATACAAGTGTACAGAACCCCTTGATTCACATCAACAAGTTCTGCCCAACTCATAAACAAAGAAACTTTATAAGTCACCTCAGTTTCAGATATCCTCGCATTCCAGAAGCTCCCAGTGCCACAGAGTCTCATTTGACAAATGTGAGACACTGCATTGCATTGCCACCCCTAGAGATTACCCTTCCAGCTTAGCAAGCAGATCAGCTATCCCAAAACACAATCCTTGAGCTAGAGAGCATTAGTCCCTCGGGACAACCCCAAAACAGCTAGCACTGCAAACACTGAGAGTAAGGACCTGCTTAATCACACTGCTATCAAGCTTCACACAAACTAAATACTAGTATTTCACCTTTGAGGGGCCTCAGCAGGAGCTTTCCAGCTTGTCAGGGATCCAGCAGTACTCTGAGGAACCACACTGCTCTCTGATACTTCTGCTCCATCCTCTTCACAGCTTTCATCTGAGAACAGCAACACACATCAGCTTACACACACACACAGTGCAAAAATGAAGCCACAGGAGACTTTGCTACACAGCAATATAAGAAGATGCTTCCAAAATAGCCAAACTGAGGCTTTTCCATTTCCCTCGTGAAAAACAGGTAAAATTTATCCCCTGCTCCCCACCCTGTGCCAGCTTACTCTTTGTTATTCCTTGTGATGTGAGAGGAAAAAGAATGAGAGGAGGCTTTGAAAAAGCAGGACTGTTCTGCAAGACCTTTGCCAGATTTTCTGCAGGAGGGATATTCTCCAGGTTGGCTTGCTGGTCTGTGAAGAAAAGGAAGGAAGACTTTCATTACATACACTATATTTGAAGTTCACAACAATACCTCTGAATACCATTACGCTGCTATGATGAAATCCATTGATGAATGATGCAGTCAATAGCAACTCATCCACTGGCACAGAAGCCAACCAAGCATCACAGCAAGCCCTCATCCAAAGAGGAAACAAACCAAGGAGTTGGAAACAACTTACCAAACCAGGAGTCTGCATTGTGCACATCATCATCGCTTAAAGTCGCAAAGTTGATGCAGGGGTTTGGGACATCGAAGGAGTAGCGAGACCCTGAGCGAGCCATCTTCACCCCTGGGAGGCCTCCACCCACACTGCTCAACCCTGCAGACAACAAGAATTGTCACCTGTTACACCAGATCCCAGCACAGGTGTCCACTCCTGCACTCTTACTAGAGACAAAGGTATCTTTTGGTATGTTTTCCCATCTTGCAATTCACGGCCTTAGGGCAGGAGGGCTCACAAGCAGCACAGGTTTGAAAACATCGAGGCTAAACTGCAGAAGTTCTCTGTGTACCTGGCAGGGCTAGAAATGTATTTCCACAAGGAAGTGAAGCACAAAGCTTTTTCACACAGTGACCCATCTGCTCTTTCCTCCCTCTCCACACACAGCAAAGGGGACTTCTTACAGTTACCAGATTTGATGCACAGAGCAAAAGGCTGACAACCAGGTGAATTCCAGAGCACAGCACAGCTCCGCCTTTCTCCCTCTGTAACACTACAAACAAGAGCCAATAACACAGAGAAGCTCCAGCGTGGAGAACACTGATTTCCAAAACAGAACAGAGTTCTGCAAAGCATTGTCATAGAGCAACAAGCAGGAAAAAGTCAGAACTGGGTTGCTGGCAAGTCCCATGGAACTCCGCTGAGAGGCTGGCCAGGCTGTAAACAAACCAAGCAGTAGGAGAGTGTCAAGATCAGTCCCTGCAGTTAATTAGGAGAGCAATGACAGCAGAAGGAGTCCTTATGTCAACAAGTGTTATTAAATACAAGGGAACAGGAGTAAAGGCAGCAACTAAGTAATAAATCCGCAAATTGCAACCACAAAACCTTTTTGCAAAGGCCTTTTTTTTTAAAAAAGGAATGATTTTATAATGCCTCACTTAGCCACAAGGCAAAGCCCTGGAGGATAGGTCATAAAACACTCCCAAAGGAAATCCCCTGAACCTTGCTTTTTGGAGTCCAACCAACTCCAGACCAAAATATTCACATCCCACAAATTCTGAGGCGTCAGCCATTGGTCCAGGCAGAGCCCACACAGCTCCCCCTAGGCAACAGGCTGCAGAAACTGGAGCTTAAGAGTAAATAAAGCAGCACCTAGGAGGTATCACTGCTGCCTCTAACCCACAGGCTTACACCTTCCAAAGGAGCTGCACTGAGAAGCCTGCAGTGCCCCAGCACAGCTATTGTAAGGGGAAGAATGCCATCACAGAGGCATCACCTCCACGACTGAAGGTGGCAAGGTAAGATCCAAAGAAGGCAAACGGAAGGATCTGAGCCAAAACCAACCGTAATCGAGCTCAAGACACGGCTGGAATCGAATGCTTTCCTACCACCCTTAATCAAGATAGGGTTTCTGTCAACACTACCCACTTTTTTAAAAATCAAATGCGTCATCTGCATTCTCCCCTCACCCTCCGGTCAGCGCATGGAGCTGAGCTGCAGGGATCGTGTTTCACAGCTACTTGTTTCCACTGCTCACTGCTGCTGGGCTGCAACACCTCCCACAAGCCAAACTGCTTCCAATTTTTTGCTGCATAAAGCCCGTGTTCTTCCATGGCTCAAGCAATGCAGGAGAGCCTCAACACTGAGCCCTTTCCCTCCCCACCCTGGCCTGAACACATCAGCCACAAAAACAAGAGTGCAGCAACACCACGGTTTCATACTCCAAGTCTTTTGCATGGTACAGAGTTGTTCTGAACGACCCCCAGAGAGCCTGTGCATCAGTCAGGTGAGCTCCCAGCACCCTGCTCATAACTCCCTATGCAGCCCCCAAGTCTTAGGCTAAGGAATTGCCAGCACAGGGTCACAGAGCCCTGCAGGGACCCACAGCCCCATCCTGCGGGGCGGCTCACAGCACGGTTTGTGCCAGGGCAAAGATCCAGTGCCCTCGCTTTCAAGAACAGCCCAAATTCATTTGGTGAAAGTGACTGCAAGACTAAAATTGCAATTCTCTTCCTAGTTGCAAACTGGCCTGAGTGACGTAAATAAGCTACACATAGACGTGACCCCATCCAGCTTCTGTACAGAGCAGCAAAGCCGTATCTGCGAAGGTGAACAGGCCATGGGCTTCTCTACACGTCAGGTTGCTTTTGAGTAACTACACTTCGGCACGTTCCAGAAGAGTGCCTCAGCCTGGTTGGGATTAGTTGGCTTTGATAAAGGATTAAGCTAAATTGGAACAAGCATTCCTATCCCAGAATAAGACTGATCCAACAGCAAGCGCAATGGGTATTTTAGAATAACTTCACACCTGGCTCTAATCCAAATTAGCTTTAAAACACTGACGTGATCGCATCACAGATGTGCTCAGTGTCTTTATCTCATTGCAGTTGTGAATTTCTTGCCAGAAACGTTTTGGCTGGATGAGGCCATAGAGGAGCAACTCAGGTGACACCTGCACAGCGCTGATCCGGCTACAATACAGCACCAAGCATGTGCTAAGAGGATGCTTCAGCTACACAGTTGTGATCTGACCACAAGAGGCCCCCCTTTGGAGGGGTTCAGTGTTGGGAGAAGGAGGGTGCAGGGAAAATCTGTTCTTCCCTGCTCCTCTGGTCCATTTGGAACACCATCATATGACAGTTCACCATTGTAGCTTCATAAGCTGCAGACGTTACTTCCTCTAAGATCCTACTAGGTTTGTGTAACATCAGTAAGCACGCAGGCATTGTAAAGGACGATCAATAAGCGTACAAGAGAAGTTAGGATAGTAAGATTATCACGTTGGAAAAGATAAGCAGAGATAAATGGAAATGCTCATCAGTGTCACAGGCTCACAGTAAACTCCACCAGGAGCGATCTCCAGAAAGAGATCCTTCCTCTGTGGCACTCAGCACTTAAATGGGAAGGCTAGGAAAGCAGGAGCCAGGCTCCACCCCTTCCAATCATACAGGTGAATTGCTTTCAGCTGTGCCCCCCGCAGCTGACTCGGTGCTCACCTCAGGTGATCAATCAGAGCTTCGGGCCATGATCCAACAGTTCCCCTACAGTTTGGAAAGACAAAAAGAACCCAAACATACCAGACGTGTGAAAAGGACATCCTGAATTCCACTGGGAACCAAACAGATCCAACTTATTCAAACAGGAGTAAGCAGAAGCAGCCCCCTTAGGGCTGAGAGCAACACACAGCCATTTGCTGCAGCGATTCCAGTGCCTTTTGCTGTCGAACTCAATGCTGACTGCCATTTAATCACAGAACGCTGCACAAACAGGGCAACTCCTTTAATTCAACCTGGCAGCTTTTTCATTCTCCTAGAGCACAAAGCTCCCCATGATAACCCAAAGTTCCCAGGTGCTTTTCACTAGATAATATATAAACTGAGCTGTTATAAAGGCGTGGAAACTGCTTCTCCAGAGATACAATCCTGCCACCAAAGGCTTGGGGGAGGCTATCCCCCCACACAGCTGCCATGCAAACTTCCTCAGGGGGATGACAGCAGCCAGCAACACCCTCGCTTTCTCCTGAGTAGGGGTGAGAATTCTTGAATTCTGGATTTGCAGCTTCTCTTTCTTCTGTAGTTTCATCATTCAAAGCTAGGGAGGGGGGAAGGGAGGAAAAACACGCTTTTCTGCAGCACAGAACGGACGTTGAATTCATTGCCCTCCCAAAGAGCAGTGTTATTATCCCATCGTGTAACGCTTGGATTGAGGCAGAGAGCCGGGCTGCAGGCAGGAGGAGCCGCACACAGCACACAGCAGCCCGAGGGGAGCGAGGATCCAGCAGCCTCTGCCCTACAGCTCGCCTGGGCTGTTCCCTTTCCAACAGCCCAAAATAGAGCCCGGCCACCTCACACTCCGTAAATGAGACCCCAGGAGCTCTGGGAGGCACGGAGATGGCACGTTCTAAGCACAGCCACCGAAGGAACCGAGCGTTATTTTTAGGCGGGTATTTTCTGCTAGGTATTGGATAAACTGATGTCCAAATAAAAAAAGAGAGCCGACGCGATAGCACTCCGATACCGAGGCACACCCCCATTCCCTGCTCCTTACTGTTCTGAGGACTGAGATCCCGTTACAAAGCAGCAAAGCCCTTTTCCCCCATTTCAGGGGCACGTTTCTCCTCCCAGAGCCGTTCACAGCGCCGGGCCGCGGCCTACTCCCAAAATGTGGCCAAAGGGGTCCAGAGGAGAACAGCGACAAGGGACGCCGTTACCGAGACGCGCTCAGGACGCGAGGAGAGGCCGCTTCACCCCCGGTTCCCCTCCGCTCCCACTCACCTCAGCGCCACAGCCGCCGAGCGCGGAGCCTCCGCCCGCCGCCGTTAGCGGATTTCAAACTGGGCTCGTGTTGTCCGAATGGACCAATCAGCGCCCAGAGCACGCCCTAGCTGCGTGTTGATTGGGCGGGCTGCCCAGACGCTAAAGGACCCGGATGAGCAAGCTCGCCCCTCCCCACCTTCCCTCCACCCCCTCCCGGGGCTGCCAGCAGAGGCTGATGGGAAATGTAGGATCCAAAGCACAGAGCCCCGACCCCAACATCAAGAACAAACAGCAACTCCCATAATGCACAGGGAGGGAGGGGTCTGGCCAATCAGGGGAGGCGGAGCTCTGGGGCAAGCTATCAGCTGCTGGGAGGCGAGTCTCCCGGACAGGGCAGAGAGCCGTCCGGCTGGTCTGCGTCCGTCTCCCGCATCCTCCCTCTGCCGGGTCTGGGCACGGTCAGCATCCGCGGCTGCACGGCGGTGCTTTCTTTCAGGCTCTTAGATTAAAGGAACAAGGCTCCAGAGCCTCCAGGCCCGCTTGACATCAGCAGCAGCAGCCGCCTTGCTCCTTGGCTTGTTCCACCAAGACGCTGCGGGCAGGAGATAACATCCCTAGCTATTTCTGTAGCGGCTTAAAGATCTTTTGGTCGTGAGTCACCAGCGACTGGCTCGGCAAGATGACAGCGGGGGTATTTTGTTCTCCATACAGCTGCCAACAGAACCACAGTCTCATGGGCATTGCAGAACAGGGCCATGAGCACTCAGTTCCTGTGCCATTGCTGTGTTACGGGTCACTGATACGTCTGGCTCATAGCTCCCATGAGCAAAGATGTCTGTCTCACTCCTACTGCAGAGGCTCTGCAGGGGTAGAAACGGTACACAGTGCAACAGCAGGGCTGTCGCCTTCCTGCTCTCCTTGCTATGCTGTATCTTTCAACAGATGACAGGTCACCTGATTGCAGGATCCAGGAAGGATCCCACATTCAACTCCCCACGTCCGAAGAAGTCACGGCCCCGCACCAACCCCTCACACTCCACACAGCTCTCCATGGCCGTGGGTTCAGGCAGCCACGCCAGCCCTGTGCCACATCGGCTTCAGGCCTTGCCCCGGGTTCACCTCACCTCTGCAAGCACAGCACCGAACCGCAGTGCGGGGCACAGGACAAAAGATGCGTGAAAGGCGAGAACTGCGAGCAGAAGAGAAGCGTCTGCCACCAGGGGACGCCCGAGTCCAACCGTCCTCGGCGCCGTTGCGCTTGCGCACTGGCACGGTTGCCCAACGGTCGCTCGCCCCGAGGTTTTCGCGCATGCGCACCGTTCCTCACTCAGTCTCGCGGCGTTGCACGCATGCGCGCTGCCCCCTCCCGTTCTCCCGCCCCCCCCGGCTCGGCCCAGGAGCGCGGTGGCCGCTCGGTGGTGATGCGGCAGGAGACCAGGGACTGCTGAGCGGGCCGAGACCCGGCGGGGCTCCCGGCCACCCCGTGCGTCGTTGCCGGTTGGGCCCGCGGAGCGGGGTCTGCAAGGGCCCGGACCCTCCACCGACCGCTGAGGTGAGGGGCGGAGCGGGGCAGGCCGTGAGCGACGCGCGGTTCCGCCAATGAGAGAGGCCGCTCGCCGGCCCCGCCCTCGCAGAGCTCTCGCAGCGAGTGATTGGCTGACGGCGAGGGGCGGGCCGCCTGGGCGCGTGCCCTGTGGCGGCCCTCGTGCGCGGGCCCCGTGCGGGCGGCCCCGCCCCTCTGTGCGTCTGTACGGCGGCCGCGAGGGGCCGACGCGGCGCTGGGGGTCGGGCCGCTCCTCCCGCAGCCCTCCTGGGGTCGACGCCTTTCCTCGTGGGTACCGGAGCCGCTTCCCTGAGAAAGCCCGGCTGTGGACAGGCTGTGCGCCGAGGCCTCCCCTTAGGACGGGTGGGAGCCCTATGACCGCGGGGCTGCGGTACCCCAGGATCTCCATTTCGACGAACCCCGCGGCTCTCAGCCCGGCCCCGCCTGGGCTGCGGCACCTTTTGTTCCCGTCTGTCGGGGCCGAGCTGCGGGCCTGTAGCACTGCTGTCCCTGGGGATGTCACGGCTCAGAACCGACAAACCAGCACAGCGGTGCTTTGTGCACTGCCCTGCAGCCCTTGCCCTTACCTGTGACCCAGTCCTGCGCTGCTCTGACTCACTGACAGGCTTTGACACGAAAAGAAGGTTACAGAGAAACACCATTGTACAGCGCATAAATTATTGAGCACTTAACACACCGTCACTGCGAGCAGAGGAGCGGCCCTTGCTTTCTTCATAAATCATACACTTCATTATCTGCCTTTTGGAGAAGAAAGCTTAAATCTCGGTTCTGCTGGAATATCTCTGCAACCGTGGGACCTCCCAGAATGCTGGGGCTGGCAGGGCCGGGGGTACCGTGGGAGCACAGAGCCTTGGCACTGAGCAGCAGGCAGGGAGGGAGGGCAGGAGGGGTGGGAGCACCGTGGGAGGGCCGAGGAGTTGCCTTCTCTCAGCGTCAAATTACTTTAATCCAACTCTCTCCGCCAGAAGCCGGAGCGAGCTGAGATTTCCCAGCCCAAAGCTTTCTCTCCGCAGCTTTTCACGGGTGGGCGGGAACAGAACAGTGACTGTGCTTTCTGCATCCCTGCCTGCCCACTGCTATGGGTCTTAGGGAGGACCAGCCCCTCCAACCTTTCCTCACAGACCCCAGGGTGGGCTGAGGGGGGGATGCGGGCTGCCAAGGAATGCATTGCATGGAGGGTGCTGGGGTGCATGTAGGGACAGAAGTGCCTTGTGGGGAGGAGGGGCAGCAGGGTCTGTGCAGAGGAAAAAGAGCAACTGAGCGTAGAGACCTCAGGCGGTTTAAATAACGTTACAAACACCCTTTATTTTCACAGCAGTGGTGGTTTCACCTGTGTGTAGTTGCTGGAAGTCTTTAGAAGACTTTTCCTGGGGTTGTTTCTGTTCCTACCTTATTCCTATGTATGCTTCTCACGATACTTTCTACCCTGGTACCTCAGTGCTGAGCCCCGTGCATCCTTTCTCCCACTGCAGCCACGTGGACAAACCTCCAAAGGAGACCCCCGCACCTCTTACCTGCTGCTTTTAAAGGACACTCTGAGCCTTTCTCCCTCCCATTTCCCCTCGCTGGGGGCCGTTTCGAGGGGCACGGGGCCGGGGCGAGCCCCCGGGAATGGGAACGGGAAGCGGTGCGCTGCAGCCCCGGCTCGGACACCGGCGGTCCCGTCGGGCAATGCCGGCGGGGGGCGCGGCCGGGCCCTTTAACGGGAGGGGCCGGGTGGGGGCGGTGCTGCCTCCGCCTCCGCGGCTCTCCGGGACTGACGGAGCGGAGCGGGGCCGGGCCGCCCGCAGCACCCGCAGCTCTCAGCCTCCGCCCGGTGAGCCCCGGCTCTGCCTGCGCCCGGTGAGCCCCGGGGCTGCGGGAGGGCTGGGATTGACCCCATGGGGGGTGGGGGGGTGGGTCACTGTTCTGTGTGCGGCGTCGGTTCCCAGCGAAGCTGGATGATGAGCTCAGTGTAACGTTAAGCTATTGATGTGCACGGCGCAGCAAGCTGTCGTATTAACCGTTTCCTTGCCTCTCTTTTCTCTCTGTCTGTCTGTGCGAAGGTCGGATGTGTTCACCGGTCGCGAGGGAGCGCGGAGCCAGGAGCTGCTGAGTGTGCTCATCTGCTCGTGCACTGGACCATGGACTCATTGAGGGTGTCTCAGGTGTGAAAATGTCCAGCAGTAACCGGGAGTTAGTGATTGACTTTGTTTCCTACAAGCTCTCGCAGAAGGGGCACTGCTGGAGCGAGCTGGAGGAAGAGGATGAGAACAGGACTGACACTGCAGCAGAGGCAGAGATGGACAGCGTCCTCAATGGGAGCCCATCCTGGCACCCGCCTGCCGGCCACGTAGTGAATGGAGCCACCGTGCACAGGAGCAGCCTGGAAGTTCATGAAATTGTTCGAGCATCTGACGTGAGGCAGGCGCTGAGAGATGCAGGGGATGAGTTTGAGCTGAGGTACCGGAGGGCTTTCAGCGACCTCACCTCCCAGCTCCACATCACCCCTGGCACGGCGTACCAGAGCTTTGAGCAGGTAGTGAATGAACTCTTCCATGATGGTGTGAACTGGGGGCGCATCGTGGCTTTCTTCTCCTTCGGAGGGGCTTTGTGCGTGGAGAGCGTGGACAAGGAGATGCGGGTACTGGTGGGACGCATTGTGTCTTGGATGACCACGTACTTGACCGACCATCTAGATCCCTGGATCCAGGAGAATGGCGGCTGGGTAAGAACTGCTCTCCCATAGGGATGACTCCCTGCATCCTAGCTCAAGGCCAGCAGCGGTGCTGGCCAGATCAAGCTGCCTGCAGTGATTGTGCCTGTGCTCGGTCTAGACCTTGCAGGGAGGGCAGTAAATTGGTACGTGGCCCTTCCCTCTGCGTTCTTAATGCTCTGCTGCAAGAGGGTCAGTCCACTGATGGTGGAAACAAAGAGTTAACGTTCTGATTTGTCCTCCTGCATCCCTTTTTCTCCTCCTTCTCCCTGGCTGTTACATAAGAGACCCATTTTCCAAGAGCCTGTGGAAATGTAATGTCATCCAAGCTTGTTCTTCAAATGGGAGCCCTTGCTCTTGGGCATGTTCCTCGTGTCATTTAACAGCAGGGAGTGGAGCTTCCTCCTCTATGTGCTCAGCAGTGTTCCAGCCCGGCCCTGTGATCTGGTGGGGTAACAGCTACTTCTTCATTCTGGAGATGGGACGATGTCTGCCGCTGCCATCGCAGGGGAGTGAATCCTGCAGCAGCTCTCTGTGGGTGGGCAGCTGGGAGCAGCCCCTCACAGCACGGTACGGAGCAGCTCTGTGCCAGGGAGCTGCTGTGTCTTCAGCTGCTCCTTGCTTGGCATGGAGCTGTATTCCCAGCCTCCCTGAGCAGCACACTGAGTGCTTTCAGTGGTTAGGTATTAACATGAATAAGCATTTCTTCAGGAAGCATTCTTGAAATGCTTGGTCTGTCTGTGCGGGACGGCATGGGATTGCCAGCAGGAGGTATATAGCCTGCAGATGTTTGAGTTTTCTCTTTGCTTCTACTTCTGCATCTTAGTGATTCCCTGCTGATGTAACCTTTACTGGTGCCCACTGGAAAGAGTTCGTGCTATCAATCGTTAGCATCTAAACAGTGGGGTACTGCTTCCTTTGCATGTGTGCTGTGGCCTTTTAGCTTTATTCATCCCCAGCTCCCAGCAGCCGGCCGCAGGGCAGGATCCTCAAGGCCAGCTCTACGCCCTCCTGGCAGCTGGGACACACAGGGGCCCTTCAGCAGCACCAGGACCATGGGGAGTAGGTGCACCCAGGGAGGGAGCGGTGCACCCAGCGTGCAGGAATCCCTGGAATGTGGCCGCCCTGGGGCACTGCCTGGGTGGGGCTGCTCTGAAGCTTGGTTTCGATTAATAACCTGGGATCTGCTGGCTATTTTGGCTGGCTTTGTCTAGCCCATTAGCTCTCTCATCGCGCAGATAACGCTGGCCAAATGCTGAGTTCCTTCCTTCTCCCCCCCCCCCCCCCTCTGCCTTTGGCTTTTAAAGCCACAGATTAGTCTTGGAATTGAGTGATCAAATTGAGGTTTCCAAGCTAGTGTGGCTGTTGCTGTTAGTGACGGATTGGGTTGTATCCTGGAGACCTAGGCGATAATGCAATCTGATTTTTTGTAAATGAACTCTCTGGGGGATTTAGATTAAATCACTGGTGGAAAATCACTGGTCTCTGCTTGTAGGGAATGAAATACCTCCTCCCTCTCTTCCCCACCCCCAGTCAACTATCACAGTTAAGACTCTTCAATTTTTTTGTGTGTCTGTCTCTAAATTCATTGTTTGTAGCAAATATTTGTTCAAATAGATTGCAGAAGGGCCAGGACTGCCCTATCTGACCCACCCACCCACTCTGCCTTTGAAGATCTCTGTTAGCCTGCTCCTCTCCCAGGGGAGCAGCCTTGCTCTCTCTCCTCCCAACCTTGACTGGGGTTCCCGACCTTGCTGCTGTGTGTGAAACAGAGCTGGGTGCTGCATGGGGGCCGTAGCAAGGGAATCCAACCCAGCAGCCTCCAAAAAGCAGGCTTATAAGCTCCCCTCAAGTACTGAAAAGCCACATTGAGGTCTCCCCGGAGCCTTCTCCAGGCTGAGCACCCCCAGCTCCCTCAGCCTTTCTTCATCAGATGCTGTGTAGGCTGCTGAGTGCCTGCGATATGGCCCATCCATGGGATGCTCCCTAGGCCCCAGCGTGACTCCTGCTACAGGGAGCAAACTGCCTGGGGCAGAGCAGCCCCTCTCCTGCTGCCCTGTTTGGTGCAGGACTGCTCCCAGCCTTCCCAGGAGGTGCAGTGGGTGAGTCCCAGGGTGGGGGACCAGCCAAACAAAGGAGAACAGAGGATGGTGGTGGGAGTGAAGGTTGCCTTCAGAGAGGAGTGCTCAGGCTGCCGAGTGCTGGACTATAACAGCTTTCCAGATAAACCATTTTTTGAAGGGGAAGTAATGATAAATCTTGGTGTGTAATATCAACGTGGGTATATTTTGTCATATTTACTGGCCCTGCCTTGGCTTCTCCATCACTCCACAATCTGCTACTAGGAAAACAAACACACAAGCAGAACTTCAGGGGATTTTGATAGCCAGCCCTGGGCTGAAGAGAGCTGCTGCCTCTGTGACTCATCAAAACCAACCAGCGTGTGTTCTGGAAGTAGATGCTTTGAGCAGGACTGAATCCCCCTGGCTGTGAACTTTAAACAGTGAGGCCAGTGGTGATCTGTGGCATCAATGGGGTGTGGAGAAGTCTGGTGAGAGGTCAGACATGAGAGGAGGAAACGCAAGGTGAATGAAAAAGTGCCTGACATGCAAAGGTGCATTGGCCATGCCTGATGTGTTAAGAGGGAGGGAGCTGAGCAGTGACAATGTTGGGTGACTGTGTTTCCTTTGAAGTTAAGTGTGCAGACTAGGGCCTGCATCCAGTGCCGTGGAGGGCTTGGGGGTAGCTCTGTGCACACAGAGGCAAGAACAGGATATGTGGTGGAGGCCAGGGCTGAAAGTGTGCAGGGTCTCTGTTATCAGTCTGTAACTTCTGAATCCTGACAGTCCAGGCTGGTCTGGAGCGGACTATTCCCTGTGAGTCCCATGCTATCAGTGCTCTGTGGCCATCAGGTCTCCATGTGCTGAGGCAGACACGTTGTACTGCTCTGCAGTGGACTGGAAGCTTGTGGTTCTCTTTGGGGAAAACCCTTAGAAGATGTCAGTGTAGCGAACTCATTTTCTATTTTCTCAGGTTTTTTTTCTTGAATGGTAGGAAATGACTCAGAGTGCGTCATATGACAGATTGCAGCTGGGATTTCATCCCGTGCTCTTGCTCCAACCTTCTCAATGATCTCAGGTTAAGAGCTAGACTCCCATTCAGCTCTTCAGAAATGCTTTTTGGCCTTGTGCTGCTTGTCTGGATAAACTGCACACGTTTTCCCCCTGCACCCAGTGATGCTGGCTGCCCCTTTCTGCTGCTGCTGTACCCTGAGATATGCAGGGGAGCAGCATGAGGTGTGCAATGCACATAGAGAGTGGCCCAGCTGCACACTGTGCCCTGTGGGGAATGCAGCCACCTCTGGGAGAGCACTGCTTTCCAAAGCTCTGCTGTTTTGATGAATGAATGACTCTAGTAGTACACGAGGTTTTGGGACACCCAGGCACTGTTGATCTTGTTTGAGCTCTCAGCTCAGCTTTATGTGTTGGCAGAGTTTGCTGTGGGATGTGACCAGGCAATAAGCAAGGATGCTCTCTGCTTTGCCTTCAGTGATTGCTCTATGCTCTGGACCCCTTGCAGCTGAGATGCTGATCCCACTGTCACCTGCTTGGGGTGAAGAAGCGCTGTCCCCAGCCGAGTCCCTGCTATCCCTCAGCAGTACCAGGTGCTGCTGAGGCAGGATGGCAGAGCACTCCAAGTGGCAAGAGCTGGAGCTCTGGGCTCTGCAGCACTGGCAGCTCCTCCAGCTGGCTGGGAACCGGGAGTCTTTTCTGCAGTGCTCTCCAGGAAATGCCATTGGAATGACTTCCACTGCCGCTTCCTGCCCGGCCACAGCAGCATTCCTGCCGCTAGACCGTGAAAGATGCAAAAACGTGCTTCCAGAGCTCTGCTTTTCACCCCTTTTGCTCTCCTTCTCTGGGGCCCCGGCCTGTTTTCCTTCTGCCCCTGGGCGTGTGGTGCAGTTTGATTACGTTCCTTAGATCTGTGATTACAGCAGGCGCCTGCAAGGCAGAGCTGCCATCTCTGGGGCTGGCGCTGGCTGTGACTCAGGGCAGCCGCTTAACCCCGAGCGCTGCAGCACAAGGGGATAGCATTTCCTCCCCTCCCAGGGGAGCCTGTGGGAACTCACACTCGTAAAGCTCTCTGAGATGCTTTAATCCAAAGAGCCGTGGCTTTTAAAAAGCACCTGTGAAATGATTAACAAACTGTTCCTTACTGCTCTGTGTTCACAGCTGCTCTGGATAATGCTGGTCATCTTGATCATCCCGCCCTTGTGTAGAAGGGAGCCGGGTCCTTCCCTCAGCACAGCCCATGGTAGCTGCTGTGGGGCACCGCATCCCAGCCGGGAGGGCTGGGAAGGAGCAGCGTGCTCTGCAGCATTCTGAATGTGTCCGGAGTGCTCAGCTGGGAGCAGCTGGGTGTTCCTGTGTGTGTTGTCCACCTCCTGCAGCACTGATACTCATACAGCCCACACCAGGCATTAGCATGGTGCCATGCTCCAAGGCCTCTGCTCAAGCTTCTTTCATTTCTACCTACCTGCTGCAGGCTACAAGCATAGCCCTTTCCTGACAGCACAAGGAGTATTCATCCAGCAGCTATTTCCCCACTAAGAGTGAAGCCAGAGCATTCCCAGAGGGAAGGGGAGGGCTGGGTATCAGTTGTACAAGTGCAGCTGAGCCGCCGAACTGAGAGCCAAGGGGATTGATGGTGGTTTCTGACATGGCAATGCGAAAAGGGGTGGGAGAGGCTGCCCTTCCCCTCTGGTGATCCCAGAAGGGGCTGTCTTGGAGGTGCTGCCTTTCTTCCTGGATGATTCAGGGTGAAAGTACACTCAATTCAGGGTGGCTGCTGGCTCGGAGTGGCAGGAAAGCAGCCACGTTCCTGCCCTTCTGAGAGGGATGTTGCCCTCAACCACTATTGTTCCGACTGAGTAAAGATGAATGGTGATAAGAGGCATGAAAGGGAAGCAGTGTTCCTCTGTGCCAGGGCACTCCTTGGCTGGCTGCTCTGCC